ATATATTTTTGAATCTCCAATCGATTGAAAATTCTGCGTAATTTAGCACCGAATATTCATGTTTTTGTAAAAAATTCAAATTAGTTGACGAATTCTCGTTTTGACGCTGCGAAAAAATTAGGAATTTTATTGAATTTTCAATGAAATCTGAAATTTCATGATTATTTCCCCTAAATCGTATTCGACGTCACGCTCCTGGAAATTACTACACAGAGAAAAACGAAATTCATTTTTTACTAAATAAAAAATTACTTCTGCATCGATAGATGTATTTTTACCGGACGAATTGTAAAATATCCCCCACACACAGGTATTTTTTCGTTGAATTCCACTCCGCTCCACGATTACCGTCCGTACTATAAATTTTTTCACGATTTCCTAGGTAATTTTTATTCAACTTGTCCCCCATGTACTCACCTGTCCATGAAATGTCATTTTTTAACCGTGTGCGTTACTCAACGAAAAAAAACAACAATAGCTCATCATGAGAGAGGCGAAAAACATTGCAGGAAAGAGGCCACACTGTTGGTGTGGATTTAATCCCTCCAGTTTGCCATTTTCCAGTAAAAATTTCTCGTATGCGATCGATACAGCTGGAATATCACACCCATTGAAATATGCATGAGATACAACCTTCAATCATTAAACAATTACTGATCTCCCAGGGGGCTTCTCCTGCTGTAGGGCCCTCACGTAGAGCTCTACCACGTTCGCCAGACAAGAGGCTAAAATTTCGAACCCCTTATCCCCGTCAACGAGGCGAACCTCCAGTACTTCTATTCGCTTGAGTCTCAGTGTATACTCCAGCACCAACATAATTGTTCAACCCCCACCCACGACACACACAGCCATCTAACAAACATGAAGGAGAGAGCGGAAAAGGTTTTTTCCACCTCGAAAGACGAACGAGTGCACATTTTTAATCGACTTCAATTATTTCGTCACATCGAGTTTTTCCCCATTCTCCCTTCTCATCTCTCATTCCACTCGTTTCTCCATTGTACCATGTATTCCAGTGTACCCATGTACTGTTGTAGGTGACCATTTTCTCTCATCAGGTCCAGAATATCGAAAATTGACTAATTGATTGGGATTCTGACGTGAGTAACGCTGACGCAAACTAGACGCCCCAGGGAAAAATTAATTATACAGGCTGTAGTACATAGACGCGTCGTTGAGTTCGTCCCACACATAATATATCATACGTTGAGTTTAACCCAAACGTTTCACGCTTCATCGTTGAAATTTCAAAATTTCACTCTCGTTTCCATCACACGCTTTTCGACCCCAATTCGATTATCTTCACTGACCATTGAACTATCTAGATGACATCGTTATCCCCAAGGGAGCATGTAAAATTGAGACTCACAGGTTTACGGATTAATGTGATGCTCGGATTATTTCAGGGGTTTTATAGAATTTCGCGGAACATTAGATCAGGCGGACATCCGGAGGAATAGCTTATGCGAACTTTTTATTCAAGCTGAACCTTGTTTTTATCTGCGTTCACGGAGAGGAATTCTTTAGAAAAATTCTAGTGCTAACACAAGAAAAGGGGCGCAAAGTGCAAGCTAGGTAAAAAATCCAGCTGGCACTGAAAATTTTTCCGCACGTTATTTAATAGAGTTGTTTTAATAGAAAAAAGTCTACAAATTTTCTACGTTTTTTTCTTGAATTTCATCATGAAAACAAAAATGCAGTGGAAAAAACTTGGAAAATTTATTCAAATAATATTAATTTTACAAAATTTTGGGGTAAATTTCAAAAGAAAAACAAACTCTGTCGTGAGACAGAGTTCGAATTTTATTAATTCTGATCCAGAAAAACGAAAAAAATGGAGATAAAACTATAAAAAAATTGATTTAAATACCGAAGATGAAGAATACGGGAAACGTGCGATATTTAAACGCACACCCACAAAAATGTGTACAAAGTGTCTATACGATTACACCCGCTTAACACGTATGAAATTTACACACTCGACTTTAGAAGAAAATAATTGAAACGGTCTTCAATAATTTTCGTCAGATGACTCATAATTAAAATGTTCCCCATTGAAATAAGTTATGTAAAACGTTTCCTGTCCAATTGTGTTGCGTTCGCCCCTCGACTACCGGATTAAAGCCAACTATTTAATTGGCGTGATGCCACTCCCTCACCAACTTTTGACTGGAAATTGTTACGTGGAATCGATCCAACATGAAAGGGGTGTTAACCCATGAATTCACTCTTTCCCCTCTTTCCGTACATCTCTGTTTGCTCTGGATCGCCGTCTTCCTTATGTTTTTATTTCCCTCTTTTTTCCGTTCATTCCTCATGCTCGCCTCCAGATGAACCGGTGAAGTACAGAAAACTTTCAATCGGCGACATTTGGCAGAATTCCACGAGCAATAAATCCCCCTGAGCTAGTCTTAGAGCAACAGATCGTTCGGCAGTGATGAGATTAATTCCCGAATTTGTCGAAACCAGAGATAAAGTTGAATTTTATCGTCGCTCGTCTTCATGACGGACACTCGCTTCAATGAGACTCCACAAACGGCCAGTTAATGATTTTCCATTCACCACTGAACTGTCCAAATGGACAGGATCGGAAATCCGTTAATGTCATTGTATAATAATCTGATTCATTAATTGTGAATACGATTTGTAATTAGTGACTCAACTGGTGAGTGGGTGCACTCACTGGGTGTCCACTGGACACATCCCGGTGAATCACTGAATTTTTGTCATTCACGATAAATCTCAACTTCACAAACTTCCCCGGTGGATTGAATTTCTCGTTACTGGACATATTTTATTAAACTGCTACACAACATCCTCGGAATTGATCGCTGTGTGTACGTATCCATTAGGGTACACTCTTGTTCAACTTTAGTATCCATTTGTTCTGTTAAATTACCGCAGAAGCAAGCAATGTACTCTGGATATATATATTCCATCGCCTATGGGCCAGTGGTAGGCGAAGCGTACATGCATTTCCAAACGCAATTCTCGCAATTCTGGGCTACTGTGACGTCTGACAAATACAGGATTAACACCCGAGGGGCTGCCCGAGTGTTTGTGCATAATTTTTTAATTTGGGAAATGACATTTTCCTCTTATCCATTTCTCTTATCCCACACTTTTACTCTGCTCTATTGAATAAGATGGGGAGTGAAATTGGAGGTTTGCGAGGGGGAAAAATACTCTGAATTTATGAACATTTATGAAATTGCGGAAATTAATTCATGAAGATGATTGTAATTGTAGCTTGTGTCATCAAGGGCCAAGAGGGGCAAAATGGACGTTTTTTCATTCTTTTTGGAATGTTAACGATTAATTTAGTTTTGCATGAAATGAGATTTTTTCCCGTGGAAAGACAATTGCTCCCCTTTGTAATAAGCTTGGACTGACCTAAATTGATAAGTTAGTGCCTGCAGAGAGAAAAAATTTGGGTTATCAGGGAGATGTCACTTATCTTCAGGAAATTATCTCAAATTATTGGAGATTCACAAGTGTGGAATTTAGTGACTGCAAAATTCTGAAGTTCAGTGATATTGTCACTAATTTCCAGACATCGTCACTAATTTTCAGAGAAATGAAGACTCATCTTAATTTTTAGGGATCTATCATCAAATTTCAGTTATTAAAATCACTGACGATCACGGTTATTCTAATCAGTCTCCAGTATTCCCAATAACTGGTGATAGATTTCTGAAAATAGATGACATAGGTGAAATTTCAAGGAATTTCGTATTTGACAATGCAGAATTTCGTGGGAAAATCAAAGAGAACTATAAATTTCAGTTCCATTTTTCCATGAAAATGAATAGAAAACCAGAAAATTCCGGTAAATATATTCTTGAATTTTCAGGACAGTGACACTGACTGCAATTTGGGGGGAAAAAACTCATAAAATTTCAGATTTCACTGAAAATTCAATGTAATTTGGTACTGAATATTCATATTAGATTGCAAAGTCAAATAAATTGAGGAATTCTCGTCTTTATGCTGCTTAAAATTTGAATTTTCAGTGAAACCTGAAATTGTATCCCTAAAAATCAAAACTTTACTTCCTCTGTGCGAGTTATAAACATTAAAAAAATGTCCATTTTGCCCCACCCTCCCGTTATACTTCCTATCAATTAAACCCAATAAATTGATCACTCTCAATATCCGAATAGTAAACACGGAGATATTCCTCGCTATTTGAGCATTGGATTGCCCCATCAAGTTTATCTCTTCCTGGGAATTAAAAAAAATTGTCCAATTCATCTGAACGAATACGAAGCTAATATTGACAGAGAAGATTGGAGGAATGATCGCAGGATAAATGTAGGGAATTCATCGCGACTATGAATTATTTCTCCCCGGAAAGTTCATCCGGATTTTGGCAAACACAGTGCCACGAGTCGAAGCGAATGTTCAATAAAAAATTCAGCTCATTCTCCCAGAAACTACAGCTCTGAATAATAAATAATTAGCATATTCGGTGATTACACATCTATAACGTACATTTGACCGGAAGATTCGAGAATCCGAGAGATAGTGTTCACTGAAAAATTTCAAATTTAAAGTTTTATTTGTTATTTCACTCGCAATTCATCGCGTCACTCATTAACTTATTATTTTCCAAGCGTGGAAAATAGTGTACAGTGCCGAAGATTTTGAAAATGGGGTGAAAATAATGGTACATTTGGGGATCATAACCACGGCACCCGACCACCGCGGCCAAACTGAAGTTCCGCTACAAGTATATGCTCGTTTTATGAATTCTTGTGGGCTTGCGCAAATGGTATAAAGCTCATTGCAATGCCCATTTCAAGCTTGAATTTTGGAATTGCTTTCGAAACGTTTCCAGCGCCACACAGCCCTTATTTCCTGCCAATCCCTTATGCCACGTCGGTAAAGGAGGGATTCGGTGTATCTGCCGAAACGATTGGGAAATTTTTGAAGGGTTCGGGCGATGGAAATAGGCGTTGTTGTCGTTTTTATTATTCTCGAGAGGTTAGGATTCCGGAAGGCTCGGTTGGGCTGAAAAAACTAGTGCATAAACGTCAGTCTGATACTGAAAAAACTCGTAATAGTGGAAAAAATAATAACTAAACGTTGTTTATGGGATCTTCATCGATGGAGAGACCCGGGATTTGAGGGATTTCTCGTGGAATCGTGAAAAAGTCGGGTTTGGGAGTAAATATGGAAGTGGAAAGTGTACTCATATGTCGGGCATGCATGAAAGCTGACGGGATTTTCTTGTCCATGTACGAGGATGACCAGAAAAAACTGTCGGAGAAATTGGCTGAAATCACGAATATTCAGGTAACAATTGGGCGTTCAGCTCCTGGGACATTTCTCTTACCTGAATTATTCTAGAATCAAGAATCAGAAGATGACGTTATACTCATTGCACTCTCGAATTGTTTCCTAGATTGAAAAAGACGACGGTCTACCAACAGTTCTCTGTCCAAAATGTGCCTACCGAACGGATGCATTCTACGACTTCAAGCATCAAGTCCAAGACTCCCAGAAAAAACTCCGAAGGATGTTCTCACTGGAGGCAGATCCCGCGCCTCCCGCCGATAAAAATCCCCCAACCTGGAGAGACTCCCCAACCCCTCCAAAGTCCGTATACATTCTCCCGTCAATCCCGCCCTGTTCCCCCCAGCAAATCGAAAAAATCTCAATCGACGCGACTTACGCACCCCCTGAGGACTCACCAGAGGACCCCCACGGAGAAATAAAATTCATTCCAGACCCGAACGACCTAGAACCAGTGGAAACCTTCGACGAGCTCTTCAGTCAGACCCCACCCGAGTTCTCCATCGACGACAAAGAGCTGATCCAGAAGGAAGAAATCCCCAGTGAGCTCCAGGACATCCTGGAGTCTGAGGATGTCGGGTACACGCTGCTCTACATCCCCCCTAACGACGTGGAGCTGGATCTTCGAGGAGACGAAGAACCCGACGATCCAGGGGACGACCTACTCGAGCCTGGAATTTGTGATTCTCTGATTCCCGAGGCGATTCTCCCCCAGCCCCCCCACCAATCCGACTCTCCAATCCCCATGGCCTGCGATAAATCAGACTCTGACTCTGACGACTGCCTGGAGCCGCCCTTAACCCTGCTGGGTAGCCTGAACGACACAGTGGTCAGAGTAAAAGAACTGAAGACTGACGCAGGAGGGACGATCTACCAGTGCAGCCTCTGCATGGAGAACTACGACCAACTGACGAGTATTCTCTTTCACACAGTGGACAACCACATCCCCACGACAGGACCGTTCTTCTGTGTGGTCTGCGAAAAGGACTGTGACTCCCAGAAGGAGCTGCGAAGCCACGTGAAGACGCACACAGGGTCGAACCCCTACACCTGTTTCCTCTGCGAGAAAGCGTACTCCAGTAAGAGATACCTGAAACGACACATGGTGTGTCACACGGATTACCGAAAGCACAGGTGCCCAAAGTGTGGATTGAGATTTCAAGTGAAGTCTGAATTGGAGATTCATGCCACGACCCACCTCCATGGGGCGCCATACGTCTGCAGCCAGTGTCCCAGGATTTTCAATCACAAGGGGAACTACAAGAGGCATTTGATATCGCATTTGGATCCTCAGGGGGTCCGACTGCCCAAGTATCCCTGTCACATGTGTGGAAAACGATTTTTGAATAATAGAACTTTGCAGACGCACATCAGGGTGCACACCGGGGAGAAACCGTTTACTTGTCAAGTTTGTAATAGGTCTTTCTCCCAGCAGGGGAATCTGCTGAATCACATGAGGATCCACTCGAACCCCAGGAGCTACTCCTGCGAAGTCTGCGGGAAGAGGTTCAATCAGAGGGCGACTCTGAGGGATCATGCGCTCCTTCATACTGGGGAAAAACCGTATGTTTGTAATGTTTGTGGGGTGGCGTTCACTTTTTCGGCGGCTTTGAGACGACACATGTGGGTGCATGCTGGGGACAAACCGTTTGGATGCAACTTCTGTGAGTCGAGATTCGTGGGGAGATATGATCTGAATCGTCATATGAAGATTCATAGTGATAGGCCGAGGCAGAAGAGACGGAGGAAGGATCAGATGCAGCAGGAGGATGCGGGGGATTCAGTGGGGAGTGATCCACTCATTGCTGAACAGATTATTCCTGTTGTGGAGACTACTTTCGTCGAGCATGTGCTCATGGGTGATGACGCTGGGCACATTGCTCCGAGGGAGGCTGAGAAGGAAAATGTGGATGCATTGTTCAATCTTATTCCGTACAGTTGAAGGGGTTGATGAGGATTTGAGGATTTTTATGGTTGTGTATATAATTTGTAAATATCTTTGGGTTGAGAGAATTAAAAATTTAAGAGATTTAGAAATTTTAGAATTGCATTTTTTATCCGTGAAATATTGACTTTTTTTTCATAGTATTTTATCAATTTTCTTTGTTATTTGAAAATTGGTTGCGATAAACGGATTATTATAATTATTGCGACTGTTTTGTGGAACAAGTTTTCGTAGTTGATATTGAAAATTTATTGTCGTAAATATTTTTGCATTGGAAGAATGAATGTTTTAAAGATTTTCGACATTTTAGAATTGTGTTTTTCCCCTCTGTGAACCATAGAATGATATAAAATGTCGGTTGCTTGTTCACAGATTATTTAGAATCTGTGTGCTTGGGATCATTGATAAGTAGAAAGCTTTCAGCAATTATGAAATTGTTCTTTTCCAACATGTAAAGCAAAATAATTTGAAAAATGATTTTATGGAATGATGCACATGCAGGTCGACAAATACTGTTCATTATATTTTCTTCAAATTTTATTGTTGGACGGTTTCAGTTTGATATTTGCACAATATATTAACAATTAGTTTCCTTACTGTTTCTCATTCTTGGCTAATTCGTTAATTTGAATTTTTTAATTACAGTAAATACTGATGGAAGATAATAGGAATAATTTGACTGTTAGGACCCGGTCCAGAGTCAATCGTTTCTTTTCACTTTTAGTGATCAACAAAGTATATATTTCCATTTATAAAAATTTCCTCGGTCTCTATAGTTATGAGGGCACAATAGTTTCATCAGAGCTTTGAAAATTATTGTCGAATCGAGATGGAGAGTTTAAATTCGGGGTGATCAACGTCACACTCTTACACCCAATACCTTGTTTCCTAATATAAAAATCTAGAGAAAATGAGAACTAGAATGTACAACCAACGTCGCTGAGGCCGACCAAACGATTCTGAGCGTTGACACTCGATAAGAAAACATTTATTCATATAATTCTTTTTTTCAACTTCATTTTTAACATCTACAATAATTAATAAGGTTTAATAGGACGTCTCAGAGAGGGGGAAAGATAGAAACATAGAAAAACAAACGTAATATTTCAAAATTTGACAAAAATTAAGCCAGTCCAGTCACCATAAAAACCAACTAAAAAACAGAAAATAACACGATGCGCACGAGATTTTGACCGCTGTTAATGGTCATAGCATCACCTCCTTCTGTCCTGATTCATTTATTTTTTCCCTAATTGAAGAAAATAATTCTCATCAAAATGTATAAATTTCTTGGTCCCACTTATTCCATTTTACATTTGCTTTTTCACTCAATATAGTTATAATTGTATACATAATATTTATATCAACTCCACTTCTAACAAGACAAAAATATATATATAGATATTTTTCTTCGTGCTATCACTATAATCCTTGGGTTCAGCAGCCTTCGAATATAAAGAAAAAAGAAAAAAAATGAGAAAAAAAATATATAGTGGAATGTGGTGGTTGCGCTTTTATGGTACACGGATAACATAAAAATTAATATTTTTCGTAGTCATAATATTTACAAAGACTTACAAAATCACACCTAATAAAAAATATAATGATGACACAATCATATCGTGCCTATCGTAGCTTGAGACGAAAAAGAAAAAAAAACACATTTATAATTAACATCTATATATATGTATATAAACCCAACAATCATTCGATGATGAATAACATAAGAGGAGCTGCCAATTTTTATTCTATCGAAAAGACTCACGCATCCAAGCTACAATAGGTGTGAACAAAAATCATCTACTGAATGACATTTTTTAAATTTATGGAGACCTAGCATTCGGATTTATCTTCCTCCACCAATTGCTGGGTATCCTTGCCTGAGTCAATAGGCGTGGGATCCAATTCACGCCGTTTTAGGTGCAACTGGGGTGGCTCTTTGTGTTGAATTGTCGATGGTTTCATCTCAGCTGGTACTTCGTATATTGAACTTGTCGTTCCATTCGTTGATTCTAAATTAACTGCGTCGTACATTGGATTACTGAAATCACGATTTTTCGTTCTTACGTCGCCGAGATTGTACTCAACGTCAAGGGGTTCCTGAAATAAATAAAATCCTGAATTTATGCGATGCATTGCTTTATCTATTGAGTTGATTTATTCACGCGCGAGAAAATTCATGTCCAGTAGAAACTATTTTATAGAAAAAATCAGATGAATTTCATCTTTTCAATAGAATTTTCTAGCGAATTCGGTAGATTTGTCCATGAAATTTTTTTCATTAATGTTTATATTTACAAAAATGTGTTTGATTCCACATTTTGATAAATATATCGCTAATGATCCAATCTATAACTGAAAATTCAACATTTTCAATGGTGAACTCACCATCCTTTCATGAGTTGGGCCCCCAAATTCAACATTGCTGCCTTGTCTGAAGGAAACGCTGTGAGCAGTCAACCCGCCGAGTCCCCCAGTTTTTCCGCTGCAAAAGAAACCAAAAACCACCATCAATCCCTGCAAAATCAACCCCGAAACCGCCCAAAAAAAAAAACTTACAAAGGTCGTTTTTTCAGAACAAGAAAAACAGCAGCAGCAGCGAATAGAATTAGCAAGCAAACGACAATGGGTATAACAATGGCAGCAGTAGAGCTGCTGGCCCTCGATGACCTGAGATTGACCTCGCAATGGTCCCCATGGAAGTCAATGCCGCAAAGACACTGCAGATCATTATTGTCATCCCTAGTGCAAATACCCCCATTTTCACAGGGGCATATCGTCGGCGATGGTTTGGGCCTTTCAACAGTGGCATCACATATTCTCTCACTGCTCTGAGGTAGTCGTAGACCAGCGGAGTCTGGGCACAGACACCTGTACCCCGAGGGTATGCCAACACACAGGTGCGAGCAGCTGTCACTCTTGCAAGGTGGTCGAAGAGTCGTATTATACCTCAAAGGATGATAAACTTTGACTCCTCCTGCAATCACAGGAGTCTTGGCGACATTCTCAACAACACCCCTTCCAAACTTGTCCTGCTTGAGCACCTCCCCAGTGTACTTGGTGGCCCAGTAAAGATTATTCTCAAAAACATCCAGCGATATCGGATGCTTGACTGAATCTCCCTTGATCACAACCTTTCTGTTCGATCCATCCGGTGAGATGGACTCAATGACATTCAGCTTACTATCCGCCCAGTAGACAGTATGATACATGGAGTAATCAATAGTCAAAGCCGAGGGTCTCCCCAGCTGCCTGGAGACCAGAGCAGTTCGTCTGCTTCCGTCCATCCAAGCGATCTCAATCTTGGGTTGAGCCCCAGCATCCGCCCACACTATTCTCCCCAACTCTGGATCCACCGCCAGGGCCACTGGATTTTCAAGTCCCATAGTGATCAGACTCCTGCGATACCTCAAATCCGATTTAGCAACCATTATTCTGCCAAACTGTCGTGCACCACTCGTGTCAACTTCGCCCCAATAGATATTATCCGATATCCAATCGACTGCGAGACTCACTGGCTCAGCCTCATTCTGGACATTCAAATCCTGTGCGTAACCAATTTTAGCCTGTCCCTCTTTGGCATTTATCATGTACGATCGTTTGATCGTGTTGTCGTGGGAATTTATCCAGTAAACGTACTCCATCTTTGGATCTATGTCGACGGATCGAATGCGTTTTTCGTTTGCAATAGCTGGTATTTCCTCTCGTTTGTGGAGGCTGTAGGCACGTATGTCTGGACCACTTGCGAAGAGCAGTTGTGCCCCTTCGTCGTTTGTTCGGCAAACGCCACTGTGATTGTCGACTAGTGTGAAACCCTCTATGCAGGAGCAGGAGAATCCTCCCTTGGTGTTTGTGCAGACTTGCGAGCAGTGGTGGGTGCCAGTTGTACACTCGTTTATGTCTTCGCAGTGTTTATTGTTGTCCGAGGATGTTATGTAGCCTGGGTAGCAGGCGCATATGTAACCGCCGTCGGTGACGTTCTGACAGTAGTGCGCGCAACCACCTTTGTTCACTGGATTGCAGGGCTTGTTGGGGTGGCAGCCTCGCTCGTCGGACTCGTCACCACAGTCGTCCGAGTTATCACAGATTTTCGTTCTCTCGATGCATTTCTTGTTCGCACACTGGTACTCGGTGATTGGATCGCAGGGGCGAATTCGCTTGGCGCACATTGTTAGATTATTCTCGTCTGAACCGTCGCCACAGTTGTCGATGCCATCGCACAATTGGTAGCGGGGGATGCAGCGGTGGTTGTTGCATTGGAATCTTCGGAGGATGTCGCAGGTGAAGTTGGCTGAAATAAGTGGGAGTGAATTTTAATTTCATGATGCCATTCGACACTGTTGTAAATTTTTGGCTGGGATCTTCGATACAGTCCTTGGGAATTTTTAGGAAGTGACAGTCTCACAGGAATTTCAGGAGTTTTGTCGTTATAACATACATTTAATTTGAATTTTTAATTTAGTTTAGACAGTGAGGCAAATCAAACGTCTTAAATCATCAATATCTCGTGACCAAATAGTGAGATTTGATCGAATCAAGTCACCTTTTAAAGAATAAAAAAATGTCTTCAGGATGAAGACAAAATGTTGAATTTTATCCTAAGAATCTCCAGTTATTAACGATTTTAAAAGTCCATTAACCCCTTCCCCCTGTTCTGGCCATGATATCTCAAATGGAATCTGGTTACACGTGAAATACTTGACATATCCCCAAATTTCTCTAGAATCTTCAAGAAAATCCTAGCATTTCCCAGGACTTTCCAAGAGTTTCCAGTCGATTCAACAATTTTCTATAGCTCTCCCCGATATTCCAGGCAATTACAAACTAAAAAACACGCCAATATAAAAATTGAACCCCAAATTAAGTTAACTCATCTAATTTATCACTTCGCTACCGATTTCTTTTGATAATTCTGCATTTAGCACTGATCAGAACTGTATAATCGTGAATGATCTTCACCTTCAACCCCTGAAATTGACTAATTAGTCCAAAATAATTACCACAAAGCGTGGGGCTCTCGTCGGACGCATCTCCGCAGTCATCGCTGCCGTCGCATCGATCGGACAGTGAGACGCAGAGATTATTGTCACACTGGAATCTCGATTGTGGACAATAGCGTCCATCAGGATATCTTGGTGGACATCCAATCTCGTCACTGGCATCACGACAATCCCTCGTCCCATCGCACCGCAAATAGGAAGCAATACAATGGCCACTGGCGCACTGATACGTATCATTCTGCAAAATATTGAATCCGTGTCAGAGCAGATCGGATCACCCGCATAGCATTTCCATACTCCATATACGGTGACTGTCACTCACCTGACATACAAAGGTGTTGCACTCGACCTCGTCGCTGTTATCCCCGCAATCATCCTCGTTATCGCATCGCCATCTTGACGCGATGCATTTGCCATTGGCACATCTGAATTCCGACTCTGAGCACGATCTGTACCTGCCCTTGCACACCACATCGCTCTCGTCGCTGCCGTCCCCGCAGTCATCTGCGAAGTCGCAGAGCCATTGTTTGGGGACGCAGCGATGATTCGAGCACTTGAATTCGGATTCAGAATCGCACACTGGACAGCTCTCTGGCAGTTCATCCGATTTGTCTCGACAGTCGTCTTTTCCATCGCAGAACAGCCACTTCGGTATGCACCTGTTGTTAGGAATACAAAATTAACTTAATTTTTTATATGTCGATTCAGTAAAAAAAGAACCATTTTCTGACGACTTCTGATCTGACGCAAACTGACGATTTTAGAAATCGTCACTAATTATTTCCTATCGTCATTTGTGGTGGAATAATTTTTTTGGTGATTTTCTGGCACTTAATTTCTAGAATTTTTTCAAAACTTGGGACGAGAGAGGGTGGGCTAAGATGGGGCTATGTGAGTATTCATTAAACTAAAAACCAGGAATGTAGATGTGATGAAATTTATCTCTATTTGGGACTGCAAGAAATTAACTGAAAAATCGTATCGAGGTGTTTGCATTATGTTTAACGAAATCCTATAATTAAGTTTCCACTATAGGTGAACAATCGTTTGAAATTTTTGATTTGACTAAACTCTTCATAAATGTTATCTCACGAACTAAGTGAGAGCTTTGCAATCATACGCATCCTTTAAATAACTTGAGTAGTCTGGCTGAGTCTCACAGACTTGAAAGAGACAATGAGCTCTGGTCTTTAACAAAATAATACTTTGAAGAAAAAATAATCGAGGGGTCTATCTAGATGGAATTCACCGTCCAAAGATTCTTTTCACCAAATGTGATAAGTAATAAACTCATGATCAGTGACGTGTAATTCACGTGTGAAATGACAGTGAATTGGCCAGTAATTGAGTTGCATCCCTACCTGTAGTTGGCGTGTCCTGGACAACGCTGCCACCCTCTCGTGCAATTCTTCTGACGACAGATGAAGGCAGGCTCGTCGCTGTCATCCCCACAGTCATCATCGAAATCGCACATCCACAGTTTCGGTATGCACTTGCCATTACTACAGCTGAACTCTGTATTCGGGTCGCACGTTCTATTGTGGCAAATAGCCGGGTCCTCATCGCTTCCATCCTTGCAATCAGCGTCGCCATCGCACTTCCACGACGCATGAATACACCTCCCACTGGCCTTACACTTGAATTCCAGCTCACCGCATTCGTGGGAGCAATTCGCTTCATCACTCTTGTCCCCACAATCGTCAGTTCCATCGCAAACTGTGACACTGGGTGTGCAGTTGCCATTCGCACATTGGAAGACACTAGCCCTGCAAACTCGTTTTGGACAGGATGTAGGCTCGTCGGAGCCGTCGGCGCAGTCCTTCTCGCCGTCGCACTTGTAGAACCAGGGGATGCATTTCTCCTCAGGTGCTCCACAGCGATGCTGACCAGCTGTGCAATTCGACAGGCAAGTCTTGTTGTCTTTATCGAGGAAGAACTGGTTAGGACAGGCGCATTGATAAGTCGTGACCCCCGGTTGTCCGTAGTTCTCGAGAAGATAAGAGGATCGAGGTGGGGCGATGAGACAGAGATGAGAGCATCCGCCGTTGTTATCGGTACAAGGATTGGTGTAAGGCAACTGCCTCAAGGGATGATACGCGTGAATGTCGTACGGACGATGCGTTGTGTTCCTCAAAACCCTCAAGTTACCCCCAGAGAACTTGTCAGCTCTGCTGATGGCCTTGAGGTTCCAATCTGTCCAGAAAATGTGATCATCAAAAACAGTTATCGCGAAGACATGGGGTACAGAGGCTCCAGAGAGGACGATCCTCCTGTTGTGACCATCGAGATCCGCGAATGCAATGTAATCGAGATGGGCGTCGGCCCAGAAGATCCTGTCAGTGAAGTAATCAATGGTCAATGCATTCGGCCAGGCAATGTCGTCAGCCCACGTGAGAATCCTCGTGAAATTGCTGCCGTCCATCCCCATCTTTCCGATGTACGCCTGCAGGTGCCAGGACGTGAAGTAAAGGTAACCAGTTCCTGGATGAACGACTATGGCACGAGGATCCGCGATCCCACTCTTCAGGGTCTTTCTGTTCGAGCCGTCGAGTTCGGCGACATCGAGGTGCTTCGCGTGTCTGTCCAACCAGTAGAGCTTTCTGCCCACCCAATCGATGGAGATTCCCTCCAGCCCGAGGCTGTCGTGTCGAATGATCGCTTGCTTCTCGCCACCTCCGATCGGCGCTCGGTAGATCGTCTTCGCGGTTACGTCGCAGAAGTACAACATTTGGGTCGTGTAGTCTGCGTCGAGGGCGACGACATTGATCAAGTCCTGGTGCATAACCGAGTACTTGGACGCGTCGATGGACATGTTTCTGACGTAGTACTTGTTCGTGAAGATGACCCAGGGCTCGATCTTGTCGCGACGCTTGCACGTGTGCTCGTCAGCAGCTCTCTCGTACCACCGCTCGTTGCATTTGCAGTAGAAGCCACCTGGAGTGTTCTCGCACTGCTGACTGCAGACCGACGGCGATTCTATGCACTCGTCGATGTCATCGCACGCTTTCCCGTCGTCCAGAAGCTTGTACCCAGGATTACATTCGCAGTGATAGCTCGTTGGTGTGTCAATGCACATTTGGCCACATTGATTCATCTCCACTCTAGCGCACTCGTCGATGTTACAGTGCGGTGGCTCGTCATCCTCGTCGGGACAATCGGGCTCTTTATTACAGACCAATTGTTGATTTATGCACATTCCACTCTTGCACCTGAAGTCCAGTGGATTGGGGCAAGTTGTGTTCTTGACCTTCGGCGCGCAGCCAGACTCGTCTGAAAAATCTCCGCAGTCGTCCTGTCCATCGCACTTGAACTGAGATTTGATGCACTTGAAGTTTTGGCAAGTGAACTCCTGAGGGGAGCAGGTTTTATACTGCGAGTTGCAGAATTTCCCCTCGTCACTGCCGTCCCCACAGTCATTGTCGTGATCGCACAGCCAGTTTTTGTTGAGACATCTGCCATTGTTGCATTGGAATTGATTTTCAGGACAGGGCGGAGCCGGTGGGCAGTGGTGGAGGGTGACATTCTCGTCGGCTCCATCCACGCAATCTGGATCGCCATCGCAAAGCCATTTCTTAGGGATGCATTGCGCTCTATTCCAGACTTTATTCGCATCGCAAGTGAACTCTGTTTCCTCGTCGCACTTTCTGTCGTTACACTGATGCCTCTCATCCTCGTCGGAATTATCCAGACAGTCGTTGTCACCATCGCAGATGTAGATTCTTGGAATGCAGTTGCCATTGTCGCAGGTGAATAAATCTCCAAAGCAAGTGCGTCCTTCTGACTGACAGTAGCCAGGCGGCTCGTCACTGCCGTCCAAACAGTCGTCATCGCCGTCGCAGTACCACGTGGCGGGGATGCACCTGTGATTGGGACACCTGAAGCTGTTCTGAGGGCACGTCCTCTGGGCGCAGTTAATGGGGTCTTCGTCGCTGTTGTCCCCGCAGTCGTTATCACCGTCGCAAAGCCAGTATGGCTCCACGCAGATGTTCGTTGTCTTGCACTGCAGGTAATTAGGATGACAAGTGTTATTTCTCGGGCATCGCTCATGTGTCTCGTCAGACGTGACGTTATCCTTGCAATCGTTGACACCATTGCACACTTGAGACTGAGGGATGCAGCGGTAGTTGGCGCAGGTGAACTCCCCAGGTGCACATGGGGGGTAAACACAGCCCTCCTCGTCACTTCCATCCCGACAGTCATTCTCGTGATCACACTTCCACGTCTTGAAGATGCACCTCCCATTGTTACACCTGAATTCATTCGGACTGCACGAGTGATGCGAGCAGTACTGTTTGTCCTCGTCAGTGCCATCCCCACAGTCGTCGTCTCCATCGCAAGCCCACATGCGTGAAATGCATCTGCCGTTTCTACAGGCGAATTTACTGCCGTCACAGGTGACATTCTTTGGTACACACATTCTTTCCTCGTTGACGAGTCTGCTGTTGTCGTCACACTTGCATTCGGCTCTTCCGTTCGGCCCTGGGTGACAGGACTGTGAGCAGCCGCCGTTGTTGATGAGACAGGGGTTGACACTGCACTGTTGTTTACCAACGGAGAAGATGTGGAGATCTCGGGGGGAGTCCTCCAGACGTTTAACCATCTCAACTTTGTTGGAGCCCGTGTATTTCTCCGCTCGATAGACCCCTCGCAGCTGGAGATCGGTCCAGTAAATGTGCTCTCTGAAGACCGTTATGGCGAAGGGATAGATCGTCGCGCTCACCAGGACTTCGCGGTTCTTTCCATTCAAATCAGAACGCTCGATCTTCTCTCTGACTGCGTCAGTCCAGTAGAGCATTTGGTCGTCGTAGTCGATCGCCAGACCACTCGGCTGGGACAAATCCTTATCGATGATGGTTTTCTTCAATGACCCTGCCATTGTCGTTCGGAATATCTTCCCAGATGTTCCGAAGCGTCCCCAGTCGGTGTAGTACAGCGATCCGTTGCAGGGGTCAACGACTATTGCTCTTGGCCGATCCACTCGGGCGATCATAACTAGATCGGTACCGTCGATGTTCATCGCGTAGATGCTGTTATTCGTGGAGTCCGTCCAGTAGACTTTCTTCTGCGTCCAGTCGTAGGAGATCCCTTCCGGGTTGATACCCTTGCTGATTATACTGTGGATGTCCGTTGATGATGGATTCTCCGAGGAGATCCAAGCTATTTGGGCCCAGGGTCTGATCTGAGTAAACAGGATCTTCTTGTCCTGATAATCGAAGTCTATTCCCACGACGTTTGTCAGATTGCCTATCGGGTTGAACGGAACGTTCGTTGATCTGGGGTCCAAATTGATACCTCGGATTTCCGTTCTGGTGGCAAACACCAGGTATTCGTCCACAGTCTCACACTTCTTCCGGTCATCCCCGAGTTTTCCAGTTGCGCAGTCGCATTTTGGGTCAGCCTCAGCTGGATAAGCAAAGCAAAGCTGATCACAGCCACCGTTTGGCGTACGTGAGCAAGGGTTGGAATTATCCTGAGGCTGACTGCTGACGTCGAAGATCGAGATATCCCTGAGTTTCGGTAGATTAGTGCGCACCTGAGTTGGCAGGTGGATGTCTCCAGGTTGTTTGGTGGCTTTGAAGACAGTCTGGAGATTGCGGTCCACCCAGTAGACGTCGGGCCCGAAGATGGCGACACCCATCGGGTTCGGGAGATTCCTTCGAATGACTTGTTGATTCTTCCCAGACCAGGAGACTCTCTGGATCATGTCCAGTTTCGAGTCCACCCAGTAGACATCGTGAGTCACTGGGTCGATTGTTATATCCCTAGGGGTACTGACCCCTGAAATGATTATTGGAGACCAATTGCTGCCATCCAGATTACATTTACCTATTTTCGGATATTGGCCGTAGTCGATCCAATAGAGGATTCTCTTGATGGGATTGACAGCCAGTTCTCGCGGTGCATCTATCGTCGTCTTGACGATGACTTTTCGGTTGCTACCGTCGAGTCTGGACACTTCGACGTAATTGTCATGTGGGAAGACATTGGAGAAGTACAAGTTCCCAGCGATCCAGTCGATAGTCAGCCCTCTGATGCCATTCGATCCGATTCCGTTCTTGATGACTGGGGTCAGCTCAGTGCCATTGGGACGAATCCTGAAGATTCCGTTCCAAACGCCTCTGTTGAACTCCACCCAGTAGATCCAGTTGCCGGCGGTATAAACATCAATGTGAAGGATGTGATGGCCAGGTCCTGCAATTGGCACCATCGCTTCTTTGGCGTCAGTCATGCTGTAGCCTCTGGCCACATCCAACTGTGTCACAACTGCGAAGGTACTGAACGCCTCGCATTTGGATCCTCCATTCATCTTGTATCCCATACTGCAGGCGCAGACTTTGGTGCCTCCGTTCGCAGGCAGACACAGCTGGTCACAGCCTCCGTTGTTCACCAGACAAGGATGAGAACCGTCGACGCGTTTCTTGTAGATGACGAGAGTCTTCAGAGTCGATTCATTGTCAAGAAGGGTCACAGGGTTGTTCCCACTGGGGAGATCCACCCTCTCGATTTTATCGTAAGTCGGATCCATGAAGTATAACTTCGACTCGTGAACAGCGAGGGCTTTTGGCAGAGCTATGTTATTGGTATTCGTCAGTATAACTTGAACATTCTGACCATCAGTCGTCATTGACTTCACGTAAGCTGGAAATTGCGAGCTGAAGTAGATTCTCTTGCTGGGAATGTCGATGGTGATGGCTTCTAGCTTGTAAGTGTCATTGATCAGGATGAGAGAGTTGGTGCCATCCATGTTAATTCTCCCAATTTTCTCGGGAACCCCATATCCACCCTCGTCGATCCAGAATACATGGCCCTCGAGTGGATCAACACACATTGCCTTTGGTTTAGCAACAGAAGTGGGGGTTCCGTCGTTGGCCAGCACAATTGTCCTGTATCGGGGCTCGCCGTCGATCTTGATGGCTTCGATGTTAGATGCAAACTTGTTACCAACGAACAAGTTCCTTCCCAACCAGTCGAACGCCATCGTCGAGGGAGATCCCACGATACCGGAGTCTCCAGTTGGATTGGGAAACTGCGTTTTGTTCCCACCAATGTACGGAATCGTGTAAATCGTGCCATTCTCATCGTCACCGTCCTTCGTCTGCAGCCAATAAATGACCCTGTCCTTTCTATCGTAATCGATGAGAGTGCCACCATCCACCCCAACGACAGGTGTTATGTACCCGGTCTTACTGTCCCCTGGGGTCAACGAAATGTCAACAATCTGGGATCCACGAAGCATCATTATGTACGGGACGTCTTCCTCGATGCATCTGCCATCGGACAGTGATTTGAAACCGATGAGGCACTTGCAGGTGTAGCCTACGGGAGCACTTGGGGAGAGAAGACAGAGATGCTGGCAGTTGGCACTGCTGCATGGACTAGTGTACATCGGCTGAAGCACCGGATGATGAACGTGGATCGACAAAGGTTGAGAGATCAGATGAGACACTACGGTTTGATTGGTCCCCTTGAACTTGTGAGCTGATAGAACACGATTGAGTTGCCTATCCGTCCAGTACATAGTGTCCTCGAAGAGGGTTAAAGAGTGAGGATGAAGGAGGTAGTGAGAACTGGCGAGGACCTGGATCCTCTGAGAGCCATCGTACTTGCAGGTGTCAATGAAGTCTAGTTTACTGTCAGCGAAGTAAACTCGTTTGTTAGCGATATCCAGCGCCAGTCCATTTGGCCAGTAGATCTTGGTACTGATGATGGTGGATCTGTTAGTGCCGTCCATTCCTATCCGCTCGATACGAGGGTTCTCCCCCCAATCCGTCCAGAACAGCCACTTCGAATCCGGACTGGGATCCAGGCACATCCCCCTGGGCTGCGTGATGTTCTCCTTCACGAGGACCATTCTGTACTCCCCGGTCTCCCTAACAACTTCAATCGTATTCAATTTAGAATCCAACCAGTAGAGATTCTTGCCGATCCAGTCGTAAGCGAGTCCCTCCACCAGGTCCAGTCCCGTGGAAACCACGTCCTGGGGATCTCCTCCCTTCTCCAATCGCGAGATCTTCTTCAGTTTCATGTCAGACCAGAAGATCGTGCCACTGTGCATATTGCTGGCAGTCGCAACGACGTTTTCAACGTTTATCGGTACCCTCTCCAAAGCCTGCTCTTGCAGATCAGCGACCAGGATTGTGTGTCTATTCGAGATGATCAAGAACGCAGCCGAGTGGTTGAATGCCTTGCAAGTGTGATTGTCGTTCTCCAATCTGTATCCGTCGATGCAGCTGCAGGCGTAGCTTCCCTTGGTGTTCGTGCACGTTTGAGAGCACAACCCTGGAGGATCGCACTCGTCCCTATCACGACAGTTATACCCATCCTTATCGAGTTCCTCACCCATAGGACACGTGCACTCAGCCCCAACTGGTGTCTGAATGCAGCCATTGCTGCAGAGTCCTCCCTGATGGCTGCACTCCGTCAAATCGCAACCCCAGCCCTCGTCCGCGCCGTTCGGACAGTCTGGCTTTCCGTCGCAGACGTTCGTCTGGTTAACGCACTTTCCAGTCACTCCAGGACAGGCCCACTGGTTCGAGTCGCACTTGAACGGCGGTGGCGCGCAGGCGTGGACCAGAGGGTCCTCGTCGGAGCCGTCCCCGCAGTCGTCATTCCCGTCACAAATGTACGTTTTGCCCACACAGCTCTGATTGACTGGGTTGACACACTTGAAGTAGCCAACAGGACACTCGTCTGGCCTCTGGCCGCAGGACTCCGGCTCGTCTGACTTGTCGTTGCAATCTGGAGTTCTGTCGCAGTACCAGCTCTTGGGGATGCACAACCCCGAGCCCACGCACTGGAACTGCTTCTCCGGGTTGCACTGATCCGGAGCCAATGATGGACATCCCACCTCATCACTCCCGTCATTGCAGTCCGACAAACCGTCACACTTGTAAGACTCCAGAACACACATCTTTCGGTCTGCACAAGTGAACTGCGTACTGAGGCACGTGACCGGGGGACAATCCATCTCGTCTTGCTTATCGAAGCAATCATTATCCCCGTCGCACACCCAAGACTGGGGGATACAGTGTCCCGACCTGGGACAAGTGAACTGGAAGTACGAACAAGTTTTCGCTGCGCAGAATGCCCCCTCGTCAGAGCTGTCGCCACAGTCATTCTCCGAGTCACACTTCCACGATGCTGGGATGCAACGATTATTGTCACACGTGAATTGGCTTGCACTGCAGGTGACATTGGGGCAATTGGCCTCATCGCTGTAATCACCGCAGTCATTCTCCGAGTCACACTTGAAGCTCTCGGGGATGCATCTGCCAGATTTACATTGGAACTTGTCAGTTGCACACGTTGGTTTCGTGCAGTTTTGCATTTCGTCGCTGTTGTCGAGGCAGTCGTCATCACCGTCGCAGACCCAGGAGTGTGGGACACACCTCTGATTGGCGCAGGTGAAGTCCCAAGGATTGGGACAGGCTTGAACGGGGGGCTCGGCTTTGGGGTCTGATGTGCAGGTTCTCTCGTTCGGCATCAATCGCTCGCCGTAGGGGCAGCCACATACTCTAGTGAGTTGAGGGAGCCCAATGTACCTGCTCGTGGTGTTCTGGGGGATACCGAAGCAGAGCTTCTCACAGCCACCGTTGTTCACAGAGCAAGGATGATCAGATGGCTTCTGAATCTCCCTGCTGAATACTTTGACTCCGTACAATCTATTCGTCGCTGGTTCCCTCACGAGAATAGCCTCCTGCTGGCCGGTCTCCTTGTGCAACCGAATTATCGCATCCAGTCTCCAGTCAGTGATGTACATCCACTGTTCGTGAATGGCGATGGAGAACGGATGTCTTATCAGCCTCGGACTGATGGTCTTCACATCGCCTCCGTCTAGATTCGAATGCTGTACGTGATCCAACAGTGCATCACACCAGTACAATCTGTCTTTGGTGAAGTCAATAGCGAGACCATTCGGCCATCCCAGAGTCAAATTCTTGAAGACCACGAGATTGGAACCATCAGCATGCGCCCGACTGATGTTCGCAGGGCGATCCCACTCGGAGAAGAATATATACCCGTGATTAGGGTGGATGACGATGGCCCTCGGCCTCTTCAAATTCTTCAGCAACGTTCTCCTGTACGTGACATTCCCGGTACTCAAGACATTGAGCGTCCCTTTCCTGGAGTCGATGTAGTACAAGTTCTTCGCCGCCCAGTCGACAGCCAGGCCCTCGACCCCCTCGTTCTGGCTGGCCAGAACGATCTCTCTGCCAGTCCCATTCTGATGGACCCTGTAGATAACGTCCTGCAGGACATCGCTGTAGTAGATGTACTGCTCGTGTGCGTCGTAATCGAGCCCCACGAATCTGGCTCGTCTGGACACAACCGGAAGTATGGCATCACTGAACCCCTCCATCACAGGATCTAGCACCCTTCCTTTGATGAATCGTTGTTGAGAGTACATCAAGAACTCCTGGACCAAATTACAATTCCTGAGATCACTGGACAATCGCCAGCCGATGTTACAAGCACACCTGTACCCGAGACCACTCTCTCTTCCCCCAGCAGCAGTGACAATGCACATGTGCTGGCATCCGCCATTATTATTCCCACAAGGATTCTTGATGTTTCCCGTTGCTTGAACGAGCGGATGAAGGGCTTTGATGGCCTTGGCGTCCCGCACCTTGAAGATGGTGTTGATATTCGCGTCACCCATGTTCTTATCAGTGCTCATAACGGCTTGTTTGGTGCTGTCAGTCCAGTAAACCTGATTCTCAAAAACCGTGAGCCTCGTGGGAGCAGGCACCTGCGCCCCCCTCAGCACCATGACCCTCTTGCCCCCCTTGTAATCAGCTGTTTCGATGTAATCGAGGAGTGAGTCACACCAGTAGATCCTCTTGGCAATCATGTCGACAGCGACACCGGACACTTTATAAGCAGCCTCAGATACTATCGGGAATGCATTTGTCCCATCCATATTGGCGCGAAGGACTTGTTTATTGTCAGCGATGAACATGATTCCAACGGTGGGATCGAGGGCGATGTCCGCGGGGCTCGTGAGGTTCGATCCCAGGACGATTCCGTGGTAACGCCCGTCCAACTCGAACACGTCGATCTTCTGGACGATTGAGTCCACCACGTATAACTTTCTGCCGATGAAATCAACGGCTATTGCCACTGGGGCCCATGACCCAGCCGGGGCTATGTCCACTTGATCGATCACCGAGTCACCTGGTGCCAGTGGTTGTGAATGAACTTTTCGCGTTTTAACGTCACTCCAGAACAGCAAATTCTCGGAGAATAGGTAGTCAACACCACTTGCACCAGTCGTGTTAGCCACGAGGGTTCGGTTACTGCTGTTGGCGTACATGCGCCAGAGGGCGCGATCCTGGGCGAGTAAGAGTTCAACAGCTGGCCAATGCTGATTGTTCTGGGCACGACACTTGTTACGACCGATTAGATTGTACCCAGGGGCACACTTGCAGATGTAGGAACCCTCGGTGTTCTCGCAGAGCTGCTCGCAGTAGCCCCATTCGTTGCACTCGTTTCTGTCGATGCAGATGCCGGAGTCGTTGGCGAGCATGAATCCCTCGGGGCACTCGCAGGCACCACCGGTGAGGGAGGCGCGACAGGTGTGGGAGCATCGCAAGGAGGGACAGGCCTCCTTGGAGCACGCTGCCACCTCGTCTGCCTCGTCAGCACAGTCGGCTTTTGTGTCGCACACTTGGGATCGCTCGATGCAGAGGGGTTTGCCGTCTAAACCACCCTTTGGGCACATGAATTTGTTGTCCGGGCATACGGTCACTTTGCAGGACTTCTCGTCTGAACCGTCGGGACAGTCTTTGTGGCCGTCGCAGTGGAAACCCACTGGGATACACAGCGCATTCGCGCATCGGAATTGCTCGTTTGTGCACGGGGGGAAACCTGGAACATTATTTCTTGGTTTATGGATTTGAGAGGTTCAGACGTCAGCCCCCCTCGTATATTACGTCGCAAAATCCCTCGTTACGATGAGTTTTTTGGTGAATAACAAAAATGAGGCAAAGGATTAGGTGAACAGATAAATCTTTTATGCGAAGCTTTTTGAACATTTCGTAATTTATTAAATTGTTGCCATCACAGCATTTGGAAATTTCTCTTTGTGAATTTTTGAGGTAGTTTGAAGAACTGGGGAAAGCTGTTTTTTTTTCTTGAGGGAAGGGGACGAGAACAAAATTACATTTGCGATTTCCTCGATTAAACGTGGTTAAAAAATATGGCAAATATTGAGAAAAGTTGATTGCACTGGCTTCAGAGAAGTGAAGTAAAGGAGTTTATTGTCATATATGGGCTGTTATGGACTTTATTTAAGTCCCATATAACTTATAGCCTGTTTTATTTCTTAACGATCAACTCAGGTTGATGGATTAAAATTTCCATCAACGTAAAGATGACTCTGTCTACAATTTGAGAGAAATTCAAAGTTTTCAGGTCTTGCGAGTCTTGATAAACATCTCTATGACTCATTTGTCATGATGAATTCTTGTTTATTTTGGCTGAATGATGTTTGGGTGATTAATAACGACAGTCATAACTCACTGCAATGCTCCTCGTCACTGTTGTCGCCACAGTCGTCGCGATGATTGCACCTTGCACTTTGCTCAACACATCGCTGTGTCGAATTACACCTGAATTGATCCAATCTACAGGCGGGTTTCACATTCATTGGGCATTCCTCCTCATCCTTTTCATTTCTGCAATCCAAGTAACCGTCGCATTTCTTCTCTTTCGGAATACAAACTTCATTGGTTGCTAGGCCTCCGTTGCATTTGAAATCGTCTATCTGACATTTTCTGTATACTGAAGAATGGAGAATAATCATTACTATTGATTTTAATTTATTGTTGTATTTGTTGGATTCAGACAAGTTGTCGATCAGCAACATCGATATGCTACTCTGTCACATGTCCTTGTATCTCTCGACATGTCACATAAATCTAACGATTGAGAAGAAAAAATTCGCGTGATATCTCACCATGGGAATTTTATTATTCCGAGTGACCTTGGCATTGACCAAGTGAACGAGACACGATTGATGTGTGTCTAGCGAATGTGAACATATTATTCTTTTTTTTTTCTCATCGTGTCTCACTCTATCTTGATCACCCCATTTCCGTTCGATGAATATGTGAAATAAGTGATACCGACAATGAAAGAAGACTTAATGTCACAGTGCACTCAAGTTCTGTGGAAAATTCAAAGCATTACTCACTGCATCCTGCCTCGTCCGTTCCATCGACACAATCCACCTTCATGTCGCATCTTTGGTGTTGGGGTATGCAGTATGTTTTGTTGAAAATATATTGACTGCAGGATAATTGGCCCGCCTCGCACTCAGGTGGTGCTGAAAAATAATAACGACTGAGAGAGTGAAACCTAAAAATACAAATGCCACCTTCTCCCTGTATCAACAAATAAACTCGTGAACTATTTTCTATAACCGGAAGTGGAATCACTCTCGCATGCCGGAAATAATCAAACTCCTCGGGCTAGAATTTCGATGTTTCCTCATCCGGCGGTAGAACAATCAACATCATCATTATATTTTGATAATAAACATAATATGCATAGTAATGTTGAATAATTCAACTTACGACACGACTGCCTTTCGTCCTCGCCATTCTCGCAGTCCTTCTGATAGTTGCATACCGCAAGTTGCTGTATGCACTTTCCGTCTGAACACCTGAACATTCCCGTTCCACAGTCAGCTCCATCGTCTATTAAAGAATGACAAGAGAAGAGATTTCATGAAAAAGAAAAATGAAGAAATAACGATCGAAGAGCAGAGTCGTGATAGGTGAAAGGGTCATCAGTGCTTTCAATACGAGACCCTTTCACATTCTACATTTTTATCCATTTAAAAAAATTGTTAAAGATTCGAGACTAATGTATAAAATCCGCCCCCTCGAGCCGATTTCATCGCAATTAATTTTCGAAACATCCTCCGAACATGTTTTTAATTACCCCACTCCATAAATCAAGTTTAACATTTTTCCGATGAAAAATATAAACTGAAACTGGGTGAAAATTTTTCTTAATAGCCACCGTTAAAATGAGGATAAACTATTAGATTTACTGGAGCAGAAGAGATCGACGATCTCCGTTGATTTGTGTCAGTGAATGTTGCATCACACGAGTAACAATCTGAATTCCTCGGTGAAAACATGGGTATACATGGCACACGAAGGGCCTGTGCACTCAGTCTATTCGCCTTTCGCATCCCAATAGCCGGAGGGGCATTGAAGCATAGGTGAACGAGGCCCCAAGTAAATTTTATTTGATGCATTGAATGTTTAATGCACCAGAGTGAGACCTTTGAAAGTAAGACGATGAGTCTGAGATTCCCCTGTGTGTGACGTTGTTGCCGGCGGGTGAGGTGAGGGAGGGGTTTATATTCTCAAAGATTCCGAGTGAGAGAACGAGAGAAAAAGCAAGACATCGAAAGAAGGGGGAACAGAGAGGAAAATATACGGCATTAAGCGTAGAGATGAGATAGAGTGAGGTTGACTATGCCTATTCGATGCTACGTCTTCCGAAGTGCAGTAACAGAGCGGTTTGTACTCTCGTGTTGGGGCTCTCGTGCCAGGCAGCTCGGCTGCACAGCCTGGTACCGCGAGGCCTCGTGGTAAGGTCTGTACTACTGGGAGGGAGTGAAAAGAACGGCCACAAACTATTCCCAACAGCCACAACAGTATTCCAGAACCCCATGCACACAAATGTCTTCTGCCTTCGCAACTTTGGTATATTTTATATTCCATTAATGAATACTATTCACGGTATACTCGTGACAGAGGGTAAATAGACAGGCATTATCAATTATGTACATTGTCATTATTTCACAATGAGAAGTGAAATAGATATTGAATTTGTTTGAAATCTAGATCACGGTGGAGCAAATAGAATAATTCGATTAATGTCACGAGACACTCAGCGATCATCTTCATTTCTTTCGATACTGTATTACATTTCACACATTGGTATGGATATGTACGTGTATTATTACACTGTGAGAGTATGTCAATTGTCCCCTCTTTGGTATATCGAGTACACTGGCCACGGAATTGATTCAATGACCTCGATGTTACGAATAATTTGATTCAACGAATAATTCGATGGTACAGTGGCATAATTGACTCGTTGAATTTAGCCTTTCGAGAAAATAAAATATTCTTAATGTCACGATGATAAAGATAAAGGAACAATTGTAGTTGAGAGGTGAAAACCCCACGAGAGAAGAGACTGAAGGAGGAAAAAAGATGAATGGAGTCAACAGGTGAAAGGAAAAGAATATATTATCCGCGCGCACACAATGTGTTATGCCTTGTCAATGGGAGGAAGTGGCCAGTGTGTCCGTTCTTGCGTCCGGGCGTTAACTGCTATTGAATTTATACTCTTTTATCGTAAATTCCAGATAATCGCAGACTGGGAATGAAATTCTGAGAGGTATTAGCTTGTACCAATTCGAATATGTTGAAAATTAAGGAGACTTGCAACGCCACGTTGCGGCTAACAGGTATAAATGACACGAGTGGATTTACCAACTGGAATGAGAGAAGAAAGGTCAACGACATTTGGTGTGCCAGCGACAAAACTCGTACACCAAATTCGTCGTCGAGACATTGCAAAAGACACGTTTGATCCAACGTGTCAGCAATTCTAGGCCTTTTTTTTTTTCGTTACAACTCCTGGATTGTGCAAAGTAATTCCTTTATTTCAAGAAAGGTAAATAATTATGATGCCGCTTAATGAGGGTATGAAAATCCAATAATGGAAAAAGTAATTATCCTGTCCTTAATAGAGCTTCCAGGTATATGGACAGAGAGATGAACGATTGTGCTGGCTATTTGAAAGAGTCATTCTGAGTGGAAGTGTCTTCCAGTTCTCTATATCGACTCCGAGATACGAGAATTGTCGTGCAATTGCTGTCGTATTCCCCTTCCCCCGCCCTCTTCCCCGTTTGGCTAGGCTTTTTTTTTCACGTGGGAAAACTTTAGCTTTCACCTGTGTGGAGCGCCGAGAATAGAAGAGCCGGCGCTTCTTCAGTGCAAGGTACATTCAACAGGTATATTATATACACGACTACCCAGCTGGTTGAAAAACTTCTCCCATCTTTCACGAATTCATCCTTGATTGTGCACGCCGTTGGCATACACTTTGCATGTCTGAATAATTCAAAGTAAGAATTATTAACCAATTATCACTTGTATCGTGACACTGAAGGTTATCGTTGCTCATCATATTTTGATAAACTGTGGTATTTCTACTTGAATGAAAAAAGAGTTTACGACGAATGCTCTTGACTCATAGAAAGTTCGTTGACGGCATGAGAAAAAGTATTTTCTCCCGAAAATTCCCACGAAGAGGGAAATTCTTTTTCCAAAGCCACAAGTAGCGCACGCCTAGAGCAGTGGAAAAAATCGTTTGTGTGTCAGGTGTAGTTTCGAGTGTTTTTTTTTTGTGTCTCTCGCGTGGGCGATTCATCTTGTCCAGTCATAATCTACAAGTCTCGTTTTGCCGAATGATCACGTCAGATTTCGCCTCATCCTAGACATCAATACCACCTACGTATTCTTACGGAACAAGGATGAAACAACTTCTCGGTCAAAATCTATCTGTGTATACGTAAGAAAGGTGTACAGAGGGGGGAAAAAAAGAGGCAAAGCAACGCGATCGGGACGGGACCATTGGAGCCAGGGTCCCGCTATCCGCTCGGCCGCTAGTCCGAGGTCGATGAACTGAGAGAGGCCTGGTCCGTCTACCTCTACCAACAGTGCCCCTGCTTATACCAGCACAGACCGTCAACCTGGAGAGCGCTATCTCCAGGGAGACACAGTACACAACTCCCCCGTTCATTTCCTTTTTTTCCCTTTAATTCACCCGCAGCCCGACAAACGCCAATTACTCTATTTTTATTCTCAACCGATTGAGATTAAAAGTTAACCATCTAACGGTTATTTTTCGATAAACATATCCCCCGGAGTTTTCCAGTCGCTTCGAGGGCAAGAATCCAACGACATACATTAGTAGAGTTTGAGCGCTGGGTTTTTTCGATATTATTCCAAGTACTTGAAAGTACATGATATGCCCAGTGCGGTATACCACGTGGAACGACGCCTGAATAAAAAATCGAATAGCGGCACCACTCGTGACACCCTTGTCCCTCCATCCCCCCTGCTACCTTGAAAACCTTCGCAAGACGCTTTTGCGATCGTAAAACCTCACCATTGCCTCTCCGGAATCCCAAAGAAACTCATTTGAACGTTGTGTACGTTAAGAATAAAACGTTTCTCTTATCCATCACGACTCAAGGATAAGCTCGGCTGTAACAATAAAGAAAACTTGAACATGGATGAAGGGAAGCACGATCGTCGACTGGTGAAGGTGTTAACAAAAAAACAATAGGAAAACGATAATTCTCTTCGAATATCGGGTAATCAAGCCGAACGTGAGTTAATGCGAGAATTGGGTGAATTGTGCCCCCCTCCCCGCCCCACCCCACCCCTGTGGAATATACCCCACCGGGCAACAAAGGAATGCAAGATAAATAAATGGTAACATTGTGATTCCACAGAGAACGAGGGAAAAAAAAGGTGGTGAAACCTTTAGAGTCATGACTGGTGTTGTTCGTCTATAGGTCAGTGGGTTCGTAAGAGGGATTTTTATTTATTTCTTGATGCACGTGTTCACGCGTACGTGATACCTAGGTGGACACATCACCAGGTATTTCTCGGTAAACATCAGCCTTTTCCAGTTGTGCAGATTGCTACCGAAGAAATTTAAAAATGTGTGAATGAGGACGAGCGCAATGCAAAAAGAGAAATGAATATTAATCAATTGAAAATGAGTGTCAGGTTCTAGCTGTTGATTAGACACAGCACCAGGTATTTCTCGGTAAACATCAGCCTCTTCCAGTTGTAGAGACTGTTACCGAAGAAATTAAAAAATGTGCAAATGAGAACGAGATCAATGCAAAATGAGAGATGAATATTAATTAATTAAAAATGAGTATCAGGTTCCAGCAATTGATTGGGTCATTGCATTGCACTCGGGCGTGTCATGGTCACGCAGCCTGATGATAAAGTTCATGCAATTTAGATGGCCTTCGTAATCTTGGCCTCTTCATGACGTCTGTCACTATTCTCACCACATTTTTCCCTTTTGTTTCGACTACACAATCATCGTGATAATCGCTCAAATGTTCAACAAAAATTCATGTAGATTTAGTAAACACGAGAATGCAACGAAACATTATCATTTGTCCCTGAAGATACATCGTCGATATATTCATACGGTATCTCCTTCTCGCTCCTTAAATCCATGAGACGAATGTAAACACTGAGTGCCATGAAAAGAAGATACAAAGAAAGGAGGATAAAAAATGAACTGATAAAAATGTTTCGGTCATGCGCCACTGAGACATACGATAGAGATTTGTACAAGACGCATATGTACGAGACAATATTTGCCTCGAGCTTTTTGATTCATCCAACGAAAAGAGAAGCCCCTCGTCTTCATGTCTATGAATCAAATCGCAGTGGAAATATTGATTCAAATGGAGTCGATAAAATACCTGTCCCTCCTTCATGTGCCCATCCACTATCTCCCCCCTGAATCAGGGATGACAGAGGAATCGGGTGTCTGTTAATAACACAAAGCCAGCGGAGGGCTCAAAGACCGATATTATGCAGCCAATCAACCGTTAAAATGTGGTAAAGATAAAGAGAGTAAGACGCTTTTGACTATGATCCCAAAAGGTGAATCCATGTGCCGGCAGCGTATATCAACGCACGCGTGAAGGCACGAAGGATCTTCGAGGCAGGCCCCCTTGATGAGAAACCGGTTTTTACCTCGAGTGAGACGAAGAAACATAACGCTCTCGTATAAGACTATTACGATATTTTGAGATATAGTCAGGTTTTACCTTGGACTCCACCGTGCCCCTCACCTCAAATCTCTTCCCCATCAACTCGCCCTCTTTGGAGAAATAGCCAGTTTTTCCCCCGTATTTTCCTCCTCCCAAAAGCCGGATTTTTCGTGTTTCATGGGAAAAAACTTTCCAAGAGAGAAGAACAACGTGGCAACAACATGACAGAAATAATTAAACAATTCCCATACATTTATACATTAAGAGTTGAGTTTCCTTGACAGAATCATCAGTACAATAAACATTTAATGACCCAATCCCTCAGGCATTTAAAGTTCGTAAATTTCAGAATCGAAGAGTCAACATTACTTCTGTAATATATTTATCTTCGTTTACGTATGATTTTATGATGATTTAATTCAACGAGGATAACTGTATAAATTAACATTAAATTTACCAATGCCCTTGATGGCCCCGATGACACTCGTTTGTAAAAGCACTAAACTAACAAGTGCTATAAACAATTGTTGATACGTTCTATTGCGTCGATATTGTCCAGCTCTGCGGCTTTGAAAATCAAGGAGACCGGAAGCGAGGCCCGGCAGCATCTCGGCCACCGGCATCGCGCGCTCCGGTTCACAAAAAATATATATTTCACGGTAAAAATTGAGCACAGTTTTAACATAGAACACAATCCATCCACTGTAGGCACTAATGGTATCGTTTTATATTTTATTTTACAAACAAACTTTCGATTGAATGAGTGAATTTCAAACAGATACTCGGTTGTTTTTAATTACACTGTATCTCTTGCTTCTGACGCGAAGAATTTTCTTTTTGCGGGGTTTACACACTGATCGGGCCGCCGAAATAACAATTCGAGTGGTGGAGAAAAAAGGTAAAATTGAATCGGATGGTAATAGAACGAAAATCACAACACAAATTGACGTGAAGGGAGGGGGTGACACAGGCATACACCAATGTTTATTAATGTTGATTCTCCTCAATCCATGGCCAGTGCGCGCGTTATTAACCCGGTCGCGGTCACCAGGCGACTGGCACAGTGGCGCGTACTCAGCGCCCACCGAACGTCGGATCTTCAACAAGTCGCAACGACATCCCCGCAGCAAAGCCGGTGTTTCTTCTTTCCTCCGATCCCTTACCCTCCCTCGTAAGATCCCCACCAGAAACCTCAGGGTATACTGTACCTTGTCCCACTCGGTGAGGAGTTTTTGTCCCTCAGCCCTAAGACGCATTTTTCTAACTTTCGTTTCTGTTGCGTTTTTACGTCTCAAGTTATTGAACATTCGATGGCTATTGAGATAGCAGAAACGTAGGGTGACCAGACCAATAGATGGTTGGGGACAATTTTAGGTCCGTCAAGAGATCAAAAATTGATAGAACGCCTGAATACGCCAACACGGTGGAAAATTTTTGGGATTGACGCGGGCAATTCAGACGAAAATTTTTATCATGTTTAGTTTCCATTGAAAATTCAGGAAATGTCGTCATTGAAAAATGAAATATTTCATTCATTGTCTGTTCGAGTGATCTGACATTTAATAAAATACTTGATTTTTCAGAAAATTGAAAATTCGTGTCATTTTGTCTCTGAATATTCATGTTCCATCGAAAATTCTATCAAACTGTGAAATTTCCGTTTCACTGCCACTGAAAACTCATAAATTCCCTTGAATTCTACCTAAAACTTGAAATTTCTTAACCATTTTTCCCCTAAATCGGAATCAATGTCACTCTCATGTGAATTATTACCACATTTGCCATGAAATTTCGAAACATTTCTAACAGTGAACGATGGGTTCTATACCTGAAATAATGTGAATTATGGGAAGATAATGATTTGAGGTGGAAACAATGATGGAGTGAATGATAAAATGACGAAAAATTGGGATACAGCCCGGACCAAAGAATAGACGGTCATATTTAATGGTTATTCGAACAAATTCATCCTTCTGCATGTTTAAAAATAAAGAATGATCGTCCTCGATAATAATAATCGAACAGATACCGTGTTTATTTGTCTTGACAACTGTTTTTTAACATTGTTCCATCAACACTGCGTGACTGTTGTCAAACTACTCACACCGCCACTGAGGGCCAATACTGTACCTCGCGAGAATTTGTTTTTTCACGTTCAAAATGTTGATAAATAAAAAATAAGAAAATCATCGCATCATGATACATTAGTTTTACCATCAAAACTGGAAATTTGTTATACAATTTCTAATATATTTTGTATAGAACACTAAAAAAAATGAAAACCGTCCATCTTTCGGTCGCTGTCTACCCGTTGGTCTGGTTACCCTATTTCTCCAATTTTTCACTTGTTCCCAACTGAATACTGATGAGCATGGAGGTGAACAACAAAAACCATTTTTCTTCAGTTCTCTAAGCAGACGTATTTTTTGGAATTTTAAGAGGAAGTGAATTTCCTGTCGTTCGGCGAAAATAATTAATTATCTCGGAGGAAAATTATCTCATTCACTCATGTTTTTGTTCACTTTGTGATGACACACGGCATTGGATATCATTTTGGAGGAATTTTCCGGCGAACGGTTTTCAGTGACTTTTGTTAATATATTCATAGAAGGTATAGCCTAAAATGGTATCTAGAAAATTCCTCGAAAACTAGATTCAATCCTGTACATATGGAAACTGTTGGAATTTCACCTGATGCTATCGGTAATGGTAATGCGACTTATCACTACAATGAAAGGTTTAAATATTCTGAAACCGATAGTTGAAGAATGACTATTCTCTGGTTAACGGAGGTAATAAACTTTATATACACCGTAGCGCTTGGCATTGTTGAAATAATCTGAATCATTTTTGGTTTTCGATGAATACTCAGGGAAAATTGTCGAGAAAATGTCGAGAAAATTTCTCTATCAATTTTTTTGGAATTTAAAGAATAAGCAAATTTCCTTTTGTTCGGTAAAAATTCACAATTATTTGATTGATGAACTATCCCATTAAGGACTGATGACGGCACACAGGACTGGACGTAATTTTTGGAGAATTATCCAGTACTTGACAAGTAGGTTTGCCTAAGTAACTGAAATAGAGAAGAACTTTAGCTTGTGCTATCGGTAGAGGAAATACGGCTGCTCATCGCAATAAAAGTCTTTAATATTCTCAACCGCATTGTTCAAGTATGAGTCGGCTCTAGCAACTGGAAAGTAAAAAACTTCATAGCTATCAAGGAAGACATTAATGAAAAGATGTTTCAATGGATGCAAAAATTTCCCAACTATATTATTTTTTCGAACTTGAAGAGGAAGTGAATGTTCTCTTCTGCGGCGAAAATTCATCATTACCTCGTTCGGAGATTTCCCAGGATTTGCTAAACTGCTTGAATTTTTTTTTGTAAATATAGGGATTGTGTATAAGAAGAATACTTCACCGTGTGTTATTCGCGGAATGGATGCAACTGCTCATTGCAATGAACGTTTTTATTACTCTTAAACTATAGTTCAAGAAGAAGTCTTCTCTAGCGAATGACAATGAAAAAATTCCATGAATATTGTGGCACGTGGTATTAACGAAAACAACCGGCGCAATTTGTGCCTATCGATAAACATGTTCCCTCTATTGTTTTGGTACCTTACGGCGCGTAAATTTCTCAATTACATTTTTCCGATTTTGTTTTTTACATTTTAATTTTTTATTTTTTTCTGGTGCGCCAGCGTTGATAAAGACGAAAGCTAGTGGACAAATATTATTTTTCAAACATTCAAATGTCCAATTCCATTTTCTTCTCTCTATTGCATTTATTTTCTATGAGAAAAGAAATTAAAAAACTTGTTCAAAAACCAGGTGAGCAACGAGGGTTAAGAGGGAGTCCTATTGAATGTTCCATTCTGCGAAAATCCATAGGTATTCCTCTTGAAAATAAATTATAAACGTTTTTTACTTTTTTTACTTGTAAATGTCGAAATGGTGAAAAAATCGAACCGAAACCTTGTGTGATTCGCCGAAGACGCAACTGCTTTTCGCAATAAAAGTTTTTAACATTCTCAAACTCATAGTTGACGAATAAATCTTCTCTAGCAAATGATAATAAAGAACTCCATAAACGTCATTGCACCCGATATGAATATAAATAACCTGAGAATTAATTGAGTATTATTCCCAAGAAATTTTTCCGGACTTGAAAAGTATTAGCGACTGATTCTGGTGAACATCGCTCCACAAATCGTGCATAAAGATGATTGATGTTATTTTATGTAGCCTACACGGTTTATTTAAAATACCTCGGGATCGCACTCGTCAATTTGCAACTCGAAAAATTTGTCTCCATCGTTTGGAATAGGTTCAGTTCGTTTCGGAATAGGTCCAGTAATTTTGAAGGTCTCGTGGTATTGTAAGTGAACCTTCACAGAAAATGAATATTCACTGTCAAATTCATTTCAGAATTCATTCATTTTCAGGGAATTAAAATTTTTAAATGGATTCCCTGAAAATTCTGAGAACTCTGGAATTCAAGAAGAGATTACCTGGTTTTTCATTAATTCTCCTGGAATAATAAAACTGAAAATTACAGTTTCCACGGATTTTTTCATGAAATTATGAATTTTCAATGACAAAATTCCTTGAAATTTTGTTGGAAAATTTTCAACAGTGCCTGTCATTTCGCGACATTTTCATTAATATTTAATCTTTCTCATGCTCTTCTAAACATTGAAAATGCTAGTGTTGAACACCGAATTCGTGCTACAAAAATAACAACCCGCGGAATAATGCAGCTCTCACCAGCCCATGCGACACATATCACCAATTCGCTCTTGAATATTTTCCGCCTCTCAGTTAAAGAATTCGTCGTCTCTAGTCAACTTGAATAAAAATCCCCCCAACCATTGCAGCACTCGGTATGAATGAAAACAACCTGAGAAATCTGTGCCCTTTGACCGGCAGGTGTTTCCAGCTACCTGGCGCATTAAGGTGCCCTCTCCCCACTTTTACTTTCTGAAAAAAGGCCTCCAAAGAGGCCACATCCCCAGCTGACGATTTATTTACACGCAGTAAACTGCTTCCTCCGAACTTGGCCCCTGATTTTACTTTAATTAGGGTCATTCAAACCATCGTTGAACGACTCGCACCGCGATCACTCGTACAAAGACATTAACCGTTAACTTGAGTGACGTATTTCCGTCCAATGACACTACTTAGTTTCTATATCGACATCGTTCTAAATTTTGCATATCCAAGCAACTGTATTCTCAAACTTCAGCTGTTCGATTTCCTCATTGCGCTACATAATTGAAAATACATTGGCATCGATTCGATGAAAATGGGATCAATTAAATAAAAATTACGAGAATCAATTGCACTCGAATAGGAAAATTATCATGATCGTGTTCACATGATTATTGTCGATGAATAATGCGTTGTAAGACGGTGGATCATGGAATACATGATTGCGTCGTCAAACGAAATAATGATAAAGGTCAGATCGGGTATTACACTGGCATTTTGTAGCAGCTGTAATAATGCATCGGCATTCCTCATGAAATTGCCACGACGTTTTTTTCTTTTCTTCATTTTTTTTCATGTATAAGAAGTTCCTTGTGTGATCAAACCGATGTTTCGAAGTTAGTAGAGAAGGCAGAGTGGATGAGGAGGGGGAATGAGAGAGAGAGAGAGAGAGAGAAGGTGGATACCAACATTTGTTATTTAGCCCAACCGGTGTGTAACTCGTGGGAGATACGTTCCACGGGTGGGTTTGAGTGGCTGGTACGCGACGCCTGGCACCACCAGGTACCAAATGCCACAAGGTCATCCTCCTTACAACCAGATCGCACAGAGTGCGCTGTGTGATCCCGTCTAATTTCGTAGGAAATGAAGATCCTTCACGATGCTGAGACACTTGTGTGGACAAAATCCAGTGTGAAAACCGCAATTTCTCTGGACTTTGCCATTTTTTTTAACTCCGAATTTAGTCATAGGAGAATGAAGGAGCGAAGGCTTCTCGAATGCTCCTTGGATGTGGCCCAAGGCCGGTATTCAACACGGTTTTTCCTTTTTTATGAATATTATACTCAACACAGAGGGAAAAAGTTTCTGGTTTTCAGTAACAGCCTCTGGATTTCAGTACTCCGTGGCGCTAAAATCCAGAGACAAAAGATACTGTTTCCAGTAAAATTTCTCTGATGATTTCATCAATTTTGTACCTCAATTTCCTGAATTCAATACATTCACATCAGTTTTATTTCGATAATTCACTGGGCCGCTAGTGAATTATCAAACTGATAACTTCACAGTCGCTTATCAAATCTTTTACCTTCTTTCGACAGATATTCCTTACATTTTGGTGAAAAGTTTCCCGTAACTCCGAAGACCGCACTCTGAACAAAATTAGAATTGAGGAAATTATCCTCTGAATACCCCGTCGACAATCCCTGATACTGCGCACTCGAGATTTTCAGCCTGCAAAACTTGGCATCTTCATTTGTTTACAACAAACCTATCGTGAAGTATCCGATCATTTTTAAGGTCTGGTGGTATTACAACTGCGAGTCAGAAGAAACTTCTAGTTCTCCATAATTTTTACTGAAAATAATAATTTGTTATTCCGTAGTATCCCCGGACTATTTAAATTATACCTTAAAATTCATTGTTAATTTCGCGGTCCGACAAAATACGCGAAGGTTCGGGCCGGACGATGAAACTTATGCTACTCGATAAATTTTTCGACGCAGAATCCGAATCTGTTTGTTAGAAAGCACTCAAACGTATGGTGACTGAGAAAAAATGTTAAAGTCGGAAAAATGAGCGAAATCGATCAAATTCAAAAAATAAAAAATCAATGAATTTTCTGTCTATTGAGCCCGCGCCTTTTAAAACTCATAGTAGTCTCCCCTTAAGAACCCAGGGCTCTTCATTTCAGTACCATGATCCTGAATTTCAGTATCGTCGTGCTGAAAGCCAGAAACTTTTTTCTCTGTGGATCCATCCAGCCGGATATGTTCGAATTACATAGAAATAAGAAGAGAAGAATTACGTCATCACGGATGGTACGAGATGGCACGTTAACATCGGCATTGGGTGATGAGTTTGTTTTCAATTTTTTTGTCCCCACGTCTTCGAGGTTTTTATACTCCCCTTCAAAATGGAATATTCTAACGAGTTATTTTGCGGTGCCATTGTTACGTGCGGATAATTAATGCGCTGAGTTGAGTTTATCCAACGAAGGGACGTGATTTTTTCTCGTTACGTGCCAACGGCGTTTATGCCGCGAGATCTAATCGAGAATAATTCGTCCATTCAAGGAAATAGCTCGTTTTACCTGTGAGAGTGATAATCAGTTGACTGGAGAATTGAATCGAATTTTCCCGCTGGAGTCACGAGGATGAGAAGTTCGATGATGCACCGCGTTACGTCGGCGAGTCGCTGCCCCCTGGAATCCTCCAATCCAAACTCATCCGGAATCAATCGACCGAGCCGTCAAAACATTCAATCATTTGTTTATAGCCGAGGAGTGATGCCAAGTGGATATTTTTGAAAACAATTACATTACCGTGAATTTATTATTGTGAACAAAGACATCTAGGTGACATATTGAATTGTAGAGACATGTCAGCACTCCAGAAGTCAATTTTGAAGTCGAAACTTCCGCCGTCTGGACTGAATTTCGCCACTGGGAGGTTAGAAAATTATGTAGTGTCATTGAAATGTCAAATTGTGACAGAAATGAGATTTTTTCGCCAATTGTTGAGAGTCGAAAAATTGAAAATCACAGGAAAAATGTTAAATTGTACGGGAATTCCAGGTCTTGCAAGGCCAGAGCTCTGCAACGAAAGCGGGATTATGATCCGGTTCAGTGGACACCGTATTTCAGTGAATCTAAGGACATTGTTGTCGGGGATAATACATTTCACTATTATATTACCGGGGATGAAGGGCCGACGCTTGTTCTTTTGCACGGTGGGGGATACAGTGCCCTCACCTGGGCTGAATTCACCGTAAGTTAATTGGACTTTGAAGCTCTTTATTTAAGGACTCTTCGTCCCTGAATTGAAAACATTCCTTGGAATGACTAATATTCATCATTCCCCAGAAATCGATTACATCGATGATTGTCTGTCGAGTCCTAGCGATCGACTTGAGGGGACACGGTGACACGCATACAACGAATGATGAAGATTTATCTGCAGAAACATTAGCCACGTGAGTGATAAAGAGCTGAATTGTTATATTAATTTTTTCTATTTTGAGAAATCGCGAACAATCAAGAAATAATTGTACGAACAGCCTGCACTATGACGTCAAACAGAAGTGCAGACATTTTCAATCATCCACACTTATTGATCTTTATTGGAAATGGGAAATTAAATGAAATAAAATGCAGTGAATTCAAATCTAATTTCTGTTCTTTGTTAAAAGTGCACGAGGAAGAAACGTCTGTACTGTACGAACTGCTCCAGCAGACTAAAAACCAGTCATAAAGACCAAAGTGAATATCGTCATATCGTCACCTAAAGACAACAATCTCTAATAATCAATTATTCAATATTGTTTTTTTACACAATTCGTCGCGAGTTCATTCAAGAACTGCCAGTGGCCATTGCCCAAGGGCCTCTGGTATTTCCATTTTACTTACATAAAAACCTGTAATAACACAAAGTGTGAATGTGGAGTGAGAATTTCATGCTTCATTGAAAGAGAAAGATTCGTGTCTAATGGTTTTCATCGAATTTGCATCACAAAATTCCTGAAAATGCCCATTATCATTCTAAAACTGTTCAATGCTCTTTTCTCTACCAGCAATATGAATTTATTCAACGAATGCAGATTTTATCATAAGGCATACAAAACGTTACACGAAAATAGTTCACAGCTCCTTCAGAGTGTGATAACTACTTAGAAAAGTGTAACCTACTGGTTATAAATTTCTGTGGCTTTAAATTTTCTAAAGTACCCAGCTTGTCCATTCGTTATTTGAACGACTGTCTGAAGACAATGATTAGTTAATCTGTTTCAGATTAACTAATAACAGTTACAGAATAATGAATCGTTCATTGTAATAGAGATGTTGCTGCAGTGATTGAAGCAGTAACGGAAAACAACCCCGTGGTCTTAGTGGGCCACAGTATGGGTGGTGCAGTGGCTGTGAGAGCAGCCCCTCTTCTCAAGAATTTAACTGGTGTCACTGTAATCGACGTAGTCGAAGGAACAGCTATGGAAGCATTGACATCAATGCAGAGTTTCCTGAGGTCGAGACCTTCGAATTTCTCGTCAATGCCACAGGCCATCGAGTGGTGTGTCCGCAGTGGTCAGATACGAAACGTTCTGTCAGCTAAAATCTCCGTCCCCGGACAGATAAAGAATACTCAAACAAACAAACTGGCGACTCATGATATAGAAGAGTTCCTGTTGTCGAATCATCACACGGACGATCATGCTGCTATTGCGATAGAGAGGGAGGACGTCATCCCTGAGGATGCCAGTGAAGAGGATGGTAAAGACGAAGTGAAGCACGAGGCACCAGTGTCGAAGCCACCGGAGAGCCCCAGTAGTAAGAAGTATGGCTGGAGGATAAACTTAGCTAAGACTGAGAAATACTGGACAGGGTGGTTCAAGGGGCTGTCCTCGGCGTTTTTAGATGTTCCTGCTCCAAAATTATTACTCCTCGCTGGGATTGACAGATTAGATCGAGATCTTACTGTGGGACAAATGCAGGGTAAGTACTAAGTGCAAATGATGTTACATAATATCCAGGCAAAATATATTTGCAGATATTGACAACAATTCGGGTAATAAGATGGTGGATTGCATCAATTACAGTACAGTACAATGGAGATTATATTTTTCTTAGGGATTCAATGAGGGAATATCTTGTCGGTTAACGTAGAGAGTGGGGATGTCAAAATATCTGAAGAATGGTTACAAAATTCAAGAAATTCGTTCGCAGGATTGCATGCGCTGTTAAAGTTATTGCTGTAATTCCCGGTACACTTATTGGAAATTTCGATCACATTATTTCGGAATTGAAAATACAAATTTAAAGGCAAAATCGATGGAAACTGTGAATTTTAGTTCAATTAGTCCATGAAAATTAATAATTCAATTCAGTTAATTGAAAATTTAATGTTATTTGCATCTGAATACTGATGTTTTCATTGAAAATTCAGGAAAGTTGGGGGATTCTAGTCTACCTGCGACCAAATAGAGTTTAATGCCACTCCCCCCGACAATTTCTAGTCAACAGCCCATGGAAATTATTTATTTTGTTCCATTCTTTTCCGAATCAAAGTATGAAGATAAATGGGGCAGAATGCGTCAATTTTTCATTTTAACGCAGGTAAATTCCAAATGCAAGTACTGCCTGCCTGTGGCCATGCTGTCCACGAAGATGTCCCAGATAAAGTGGCCGAAGCAATTGCGACATTTATGGTCAGGAATAAATTTGCTGAGCCAGCCTCTGATTTCCACCGCACATTTCCGGCATGTTAACTGATGATTGTCTCCACAGGTATTCGAAAAATAGGGATTTACGAAGAAATCATAAACTAGGTATTTATTACCTTTCGAACTATATAATTTTCTTATTACCTGATAGATTACAGCTTGGAACATTTCATTAGTACACGATAAAATTAAAATTCCTTAAATTAAATCACACTGAGAGTACAACACTCATTGAATTATTGAGAGTACAAAAATAGGATGTGAAAATGACGAGTATCACATTTTAGGAATACAAAGGAACAATTAAAACGAGTCTATTTAAATTGACACTTAATATTATTCAATTCCTCGATTGCGACAATATCAGGGAATTTCCACAGGCATTTGAAAAATAGGAGTTGAAAAAAAGGAAAATGAGGTGTTTATTATCTTCTTAAATATATAATTTTCTTACTATCTAATGAATTACAGCTTGGAACATTTCATTAATATACGATGTCCTTAGCTTAAACACACTGAAGAGTACAACACTCACTGAATATTGAGAGTACAAAAATAGCATGTGAAAATCACCAGTATCACATTTTAGGAATACAAGATGACAATTAAAACTAGTACAATTTAGGCTGATACTTAATATTACGAAAATTCACAGGCATTCAAAAAATCGGGGTTAACAAAGAATGAAAAATGAGATGTTTATTATCTCTTCAAATATATAATTTTCTTATCAGATTACGGCTCGGAACATTTAATTAATATATCCGTAACTTAAAGCACACTGAGAGTACAAAAATAGCATGTGAAAATCACGAGTATCACATTTTAGGAATACAAGATGACAATTAAAACTAGTACATTTAAGCAGACACTTAATATTATCAAATTCCTCGATTGCGACGATATGACGGAATTTTTGTTGAACGAATAAATTAGTTTGACGAATTTTCGGAACAATACTGAGCCGTCGACCACTTTCAGTCTTCATATCAATACGATTGGAGAGACCAATCGAGATTTCTCCACTCGTTCTTCAGGAATATTACTTTGTTTTCACTTTCACTGGAACTTTTGATTATGCTTACGTATACGAGCGCCTGGAGACTCCTGAGATTCATCGTCTCTCTTTTTTTTTCAGCCAATGGGGTCTTTCAGCGTGACACATGGCCCAGCTCTTCCTGCCCTGAGAGGCGCGACCTACAAAAATAGAACATGAAAAAACTCTACTCAAGTAACAATTCTAAAGCTCAATAAAACAGGGGCTTTGTCAATTCATTTGACATTCCTGACATTCAAAAAAGATAAATGTGTACTCACTTGGTGCCACTCATTCAGAATGGGATCGTATGCTTCAACGAGAGTGAGATATTGTTGTCCATCGTATCCACCTACTGCTAACAATTGATCTCCCAGGAGACAAACACCCACTGCATCTCTGGCTACACTCATTGGTGCTACCATGGTCCACGTGTCAGTTTTTGGATCATACCTTCAAAAACAAACAGAACTCATTGTTGAAAGTTGGTGAAGTGATATAAGAGGACCAGTAAATTGGACTTTAGAACAGAAAAATTGATTTCAGTTTTGAAATGTTTTAAAAAACTACACTGAGTACTTGATTTTCATTACATTTGTCGGTCAATATGTTCAAATTTACATTATTAGAAAAATAAAAAGAGCATGGAAATTTTTAATTAATTGAAATTTATTTGAATTTTCATAATTTGTATAAATTTTTATGGAGTATTGTCCCATCAAATTGTGTATTTTCAACGAGGAAATTACTTCAAATTTCAGTGGAACTGTCACTAGATAAAAAATTCGAAGAAGTGTACCGGAAATTTTTTACTAATGGATATTGAATTCGATTTGGAGGAGAAAAATCATGGAATTCCAAATTTTTGCGCAGTAAGAAGAAGAAATTTCCTTAACTTGAGTTTTCAATCAAAGCATGAATATCCAGTATCAATATCACTACAATAAATTTACCTAAATTTCTCTGATTTCTATTAATTTCTTTGAATAATTAAACTCAAATTTAATTAATTGTTTACTGAAATTGTGAATTCTTTAGGACAAGATTTGGAATTTCAATCGAACTGTTTCTCTATAGAAAAATCCACAAAGTAAATTGTCAGCAACCTACATCAGACTTCAATCAAAGACTCATCTGTTCTCGAGTTAAGTTGAAATTCCGTTTAATCCCATCATAACTGACTAATCAAGCTGCAAAGGATAATAAAAAGTAAGACTAGATGATGTCAACAACAAAAATTACCGCTCAACACTGTCATATCTGCAGGCAGTGGAGCCCCTGGCAGCTGCGTCGTATCCCCCAAGTGCATAGAGACATCCGTTGGCAACACCAACGCCGACCCCACCACGTCTCTGTGACATTGATGCACAGCTAGTCCACTTATTCGTATGTGGATCGTAACAATCCACAGTGTTCAGGCACGAGTTCGTGTCCCTTCCACCAACTGCATACAATCTATTTTGAAATTGACAAAGAAAAACACATTTAGCCCGGATCCGAGATGCAATGAACCATCAAGAGTGAGGGAATTTCCCCGTGAAAAATACTTGTCATTGAGCACCGCGACGCCTACAGTGGACCTCGGGCCGGGCATTGGAGCGATGTAGCTCCACTCCTGCGTATTTGGATCCCATCTCTCTACTGTCTGCAAGAAACTCCAGCCATCGTGACCACCAACTGCGTAGAGTGGCCCACCGAGAACTGCAACACCTGTGGACAATAAAAAATTATAAATTACGTGTGACCCGTGACTTCAGAATCACAAGAGCAATCAATTCAATTCCAAATTCATCTAATTTATCCATTGGAATAGTTCCAACTAACACCAGAGTGAATATTCAATCGATTTCTTCAAATTTACAATATTTTTGAATAATTAAAATCAGAACGAAGGCAGCTGAATACGTAGAAATAACTAACGCAGCGTCATGAATATTTCAATATCCATTAAAATGAGAAATAAAGAAAAAGACCTAATCCATGACTAAAATTCATAGATTGTGTTGGAGCCACAATTTTATGCAACATCTCCAGACAATAAAAATTTATAAATTACGTATGACCCGTAACTTCAGAATCACGAGAGCAATCAATTCAATTCCAAATTTATCTAATTTATCCATTGGAATAGTTCCAAATAACAACAGTATCTACGTTATGAGGAGTTCATTTGTGAATAATCAATCGATTCCTTCAAATTTACTATATTTCTGAATAATAAAAATTGGAACGAAGGCAACTAAATACGTACAAATAACTAACGCAGCATTATGAATATTCCAATATCCATTAAAATGAGAAATAAAAGGAAAAGACCTAATCCATTTCTAAAATTCATAGATTCTGTGTGACCCATAAATTAATTTATGAATATTCAATCAATTCCTTCGAAATTTCTATATTTTTAAATAATTCAATTCAAAATGAAAGCAACGGTGTACATTAAAACCCCAGCGTCACAATGAATATTTAGTATGTGACCCCTAACTTTAGAGCCTATGATATCAATCAATTCAATTCCAAATTTATCGAATTTATTTATTGGAATAGTTCCAATGTGTCTGCATTGAGACACACGTTTACGGGTATATCGTGAATATTCAACGAATTCCTTCGAAATGACTGCATTTCTCAATAATTGAATTCAGAACAAAGACAACAATGTATTCCAGAGCCGACGCGTCACCCCGAATATTAAAATATCCGTTCAAAAAGGAATGAACAAAAAAAATACCTAGTCCATGACGATGAGTGTTCATGGGTGGCAGGCTGCTCCACTTTAAAGTAGAAAAATCCAGTCTCTCGACACTACTCATGGTCTTCAAGCCATCCCTCCCTCCAGCAATAATCAATCTCGATCCAACAACAGCAGCTCCGAATTGCAAACGACGGCCATTCAGACTAGCCAAGTACTTCCATGCATTATCACACAGGGAGAAAGCGTCAATGGAAGTGGCGCCTTAGAAATAATACAGAATATAATAAAAACTCTCGAAACATCAATCTTTCGTAAAAGTATATTACTAGAATCGTGGAGAAAACAGTTTTCTTAGACTATTATTTTCGCATTTTCCACCTTTGTTGTCGTCCATTCCCCCCACGGCGAGCAGTTGTCCCACAGTCGCTTTTCTCGGTCTAGTCCTGCATGTCTGGAGCAGTGGACGTCTCTCGGGGAGCAGATGGTACTTCAGGGCCTCCATCACCAATTCCTGAGCTCGTTTCTCGTCCTTGAATATCTCGTTGCCGTCAATGTTATCAGCTATGAACTATTCAGTACGTAAAATATGTCTGTCATTCTTTTTCTATTGTTTTTCATGATAATGAGCTTGGGAGTACTCACGACTGGTGATAACAGGGGCAATCTGACCAATCCCAACAGCCTGCTGGCGTCTTTACGACGAATCTCGAGGTCATGCTCCAACCAACTGATCAATGCCTGCGAATGGAACGAATTCAATGACGATTTTATGAGACGTAATAAGTTGACTCATATGAAATACTCCTGTAGGTTTTTTTGAGATGATTCTGTGGGAATACCAACATTTTTTTGTGAATTCTCACAATAAAAAAGTCTGGCAGTTATAAAATTCATTAATTTTTTGTAGAAAACATTGCATGGAAAATTGTATAGTGAAAGCAGTTTAGAAAAGCAATTGTTAATTCAATTAATACGATTTTTCCAGTTTTCTCATACTTAAGTTATTATGAAATTCTATTGGTTCGATCACTGACTGCATTCTACAAGTGATTCTCCCTTTAAATTTTCGTCCTCCACGATGAAAATTCATATTACTTTTTCTAAAGAAACTACGATTTTGTAGAAACTTTTCCATTGCATCTACAGGAATTTCTAAAGCCCAAAAATTGTCCTGAAATTCTCCCCTGGAATTCAGTAAGTTAATCGTCTCACTCGAAAAACAATCTCCTCCGAAGGGATATTGAGATCATCAGACTCGATCAACTTGGCAACATCATCTGCCGAAAGCAACAGGAATTCCTGATTTTTCATCACTTCCATGAAATGTTCAGTTGTGTAGGTGTGTGCGACGTTTAATAGATGGGAGCAGCCCTGGGTGTCAGCGAACATGCGTATCCCAAGGCAATTGCTTGGGTGCAGTTGTTTTATGAGGAACTGACAGCAGGCTTTCACCACTGCGTCGATTTGGAGGAGGCTGGCGGTTGCCAGGAGGGTCTCCACACAGTCCTCTCGAAGTTCAATGCAGCCTGACGTAGAAAAATTTCAATATCGTTATCATTCTCTCTTTTACTGCCGGGGGGACAGGCCTGGGTGGTTTTACCTGTGTAACAGTATTGAATGAGCGCCCACAACGCATCCGGATCAACTTCCCTTAATTCCACTTCAGTCTGACCAGATTCCCTCAGAGAACTCGTGAACATCGCTGAGAAGTACTCGGATCCTGCACTGAGGACTAAACGATGCGCTGGAAATCGTTTTTCTCCTGGAAGTAGTCAGTGCAGTATTGAAGGGAGAGTGGAATTTCATGGGCACTTTAGTTGTAATTTTCAGGAGAGCGGCATTGAATTAAATTTAAGCTGTGAAAAATCACGAAATTTCAAATACCACTGAAAATCCAATGGAATCCCAAATTTCTTGGGCAGCAGGAAGACGAAAATTTTCCAATTTACTTGAATGTCCAATCAAAACATGAATGTTCATTTCCAAATTTTCAATGAATGGAAACTTCACGATTTTTATAAATTTCATGGAATAATTGAACTGGAATTTACATTTTCCGTTGATTTTCCATCGAATTGTAAATTTGAACAGAAACAAAAAGATACGAATTCCTCACTTAATTGATTTTTCAATCAAAAAATGAATAATCAGTATTGATATACCCTGAATTCATTATTAATTAAAAATTTGAAAGTACATCCTTCTCAATTTTCCTGATCTCTAATAATTTCCGTCATATAATGAATCTGAAAATTAAAGTTTCCATTGATTTTTCCTTCAAATTGAATTTTCAATAACTTTCATTATATGACAGCTAATGACGAAATTCCTTGAAATTTCAGGGGAACTGTCACATGATAAAACTTTCAAAACGTATGCAGATATTTCAGTTAAAAATTTTTAACAGCGTGGTAATTCAATTTCAAACGGTTTAATTGCTTTGACCTTCTTCCGCGTGTTCATTCATAAAAAAACAGAGGTACTGACCTGCAATGAGGACGACATCGGTCAACAGTTGCTGGTGCAAATATTCCTCCATGCACTTCAAACTGTTCTCCGCATGCTTAGCAACACGGAAATTTTCATCCTGAGATGAGGATGCAGTGGAAATTAGACTGGAGATACTCTGCTCGCTGGTAGTTGCATCTTTCTTCGGCAAATGCAACTCCTGCTCGCCTTTGTTCAGTTCTATATGCTTCATTGTAATTATTCTCGATCAGGAAGAGTGGAAATTCGAGGGAAAGCTTGATCGAGGAATAATGGAAATTTACGATGTGGAGGACGTCATTGTTAGCGAAAGTGAGAGGATTTGTTTGAGGAAAAACAGTGAGTTTATTCCAGTTTGACAGATCGAACGCCACTTGTCGCATCAAAGCGTAAACTGATCATCCCTTCCATCTGCACAGTTCGATGAAATAAAGGGGAGGTGGAGAGGCAGGCTAGCCAGGGGATTGGGAAGTGAAAATTACCAACTAAACGAGTGGAAACGTTCCTGAAGATCGTGGGTGTTACTAGATTTAAAATTTTCTGCAATTATTCATTGTTTTTCTTTTTTGTAAAAAATGGTTTTGAATATGATGATTAGTCGCTTTAGATTCTCGAGGGAATATTCAAATTTTCATTGCATTCATAGATAAAAAATTTCATGAATGTTATTAATGGCATAGTTATCCAGAAAATTTAAAGACATGTTGGAGAAAATTAAAGGAATATTCATTTAATTGTGATTTTGCGACGTTTTGCTAATTATTTTAGCTTCATCAGGCTCTCGGAAAAGGTTTGACAGTCAGGTGTATTTATTTATTTGAAGCTAAAATCAATTTTCACTTCACGTATGCAAAAATTTCACAGAAAATCTAGCGAATTCGCTAGACAATTCAATTGAATTTCCGTTGAACTTTCCTCGGCTAAAGTTTCCTCTTTTCTTCGTTTAATTCTCTTAATGAAAAGAAAAGAAAAATAGAATGAGAAACACCTGCAAAATTTGAGCCGAGGAAATTCTATAGAAAATTATTTTTCTGTTGAACATTGCAATAGAATTGGCCAAAAACTAATAAAAATTTCAGTAGAAATCCAATTGAATTGCCCAGCGAATTCGCTAGGCTTTTCAACTGCATTTTTTCGGGCGTATTTAAATGATAAAATTCAAAATTTTCCTTACAAACTGAAGTTAATAATAAAGAATAAAAAAAGAAGACGATAATGAATAACTTGTACCTATATTTACCACAATGTTTTTATATCGCGTGATTTTTATCTACTTTGAAGACCCGAAATGCCCCATCCGAAGACGTAACTGATGGCTCCAACGAAAGTGCAGTCATTCGATTTCTCGAGAAAATGCAAACTACTTTCTATAGGTATTCATATCATCGCCTGTTTCCCCGACTATTAACGACGTGCATCAGTTAGTTAACCTGTGCGATTCTCCCTTCGTGCAGGATTATCATTGGTATCCTATTAGTAACGACTGTCGCGTGCATTAAACCGAACGAGAAGAGTGCATTGATCCCCGAAAAGCCGGAGAAGTTGAGTTCCAAGAACCGACATGGTCGCACTACCTTTGTCAAAGCGATTCTCTCGAATCCAAAGCTGTCTCCGACTCACGTACTAGCTGAAAAATTAGCGAAAGAAGCTTTGAGGTCCACGAGGACGCAGCAGGCACTGAAGAAACTAACGGAAATCGGATCCCCAGTGGACAAACGGAGCGTGAAAAGAGCTGATCACCAGAGACTCCGTCATAAGAAGCGCAAACGGAAGAAACACAGGCACAGACCTGGGGGTCGACGACATCATCATCGTCACAGAAATGCACGGAGACGTCGACTGGGGAAACAGGTGGGTAAAGCCGTCGATTGGGGGAGCGGGACAAAATTGGACAAAATGAACGTTTTTGTTGTTTTTCGAAACGGTCATTACTCAGAAATAAATTGGTTTATTGAGTTCAGTGTAGGCTTATCGCAAAGAGGAAGAGTTGTACACGAAGAGACAAGGTGCAGAAGAATTATCTAGAAAATCGCGGCAAATTTTACTACACGAAAGGTAATCGTGAAGCGAAATTGTAATTCAATAGAAAATACTTTTTGCGGATATCTTACGATTCGTTCGTTTGTGGTGTGCAGTAAAGTTTTGTGGTGGTGTTACATTATGCCATAGATTTTTGCAGGGAGAAAAAAGTTGGAGAAAATTTACCGTACAATTTGAGTCATCGTGGAGCGAACTCGATTTTGTCTCCGTTAGTCCGGGAAATTTTACTGAACGTGAGAGTAATTTGCACCGAAATTGTAAAATTTACCCAGCATTCCATAAAAAATATTGCGGATAAGTATCTGTAACGGAACGTGATTTTATACCGAACGTGATCGGTAAAATCTCACTTCCATTCGTCCCCATTACGTTCAGATGGGCGCAAAAAAAATACCCTACTGGTGTGGGAAATGTTACTGCACAAGAGGATAATTTTTGTGCCCATAAATGTGTTTTTTACGGCGCGCATCGTAAAATCGCCGCCACAAACAGCGGCAAAAGCTGTTGCGTGTGCAACAGCGTAATTTTCATCCAACTTCTCTCTCCGTGTATGGAATAAAAGGTAAATTTCAGTTTCGGCACAAATTACCCTCACGTTTAGTAAATTTTCCCGAGTTACCGAGAAAAATTCACTATTCGTCTTAGACTTACTTCCCTTGTTTCATAAGAATGTTAATATCACATGTCATCAACAATTCAATGACTCATTAACATCCAAAAAAGTCATAATGTCCATCTTGCCCCACTCGCTCCTAAATCCTCACAAATACAGTTAAATACACAGAGAATAGGTTTCAGGGAATTATGATGGAACGAATGGAAGGAATGATTTAACACCGAAGAAAATTCAAGTAAAACGTAATGACATCGATTGCACTATCAGTAGGCTGAATTTTTTCAATCCAATGAGACATCCCTTACCAATATCTGATCCGTTTTATCCAGAGCAATCGCGTGTGAGAATATCTCGTCAGGCGCCGAACAAACTGAACAAAATGAATGTTAAGAAGCGTCAAGGACGTGTAAGCAATGATTTCGATAATAATTCAGGATTCAATCAGGATATGTATCTGTACGCAGATCCCTTGTGGAGCCCGGGATCACAATTCTCCAATATCGACGTAAATTCTCCAATGTACCCTCAGAATTATAATCAACCTCAATTTCCTATGGTTTCGAATGGGTTGTATCCCCCCGGGAGACAACCAAATTACTTTCCACAATTTGAACCGAGACTGAAGGGAGTGCCTGTCAGCACTCGGGCCGTTCACGTCACTAAACATGACGCAACGAATGGAAATTCTACAACGAATTGCACAGCATCGAATTCGGAAGTTAGTCCGGAGAGGATAAAAGATGAGGAGCAGGGGAAATATGTAGAACACAATGTGTCGGCCTCGAGTCATCCTGGAGAAGCACTGGCGTTGCAGTCTCAAGTTAATTTTACGGGGGTGGAAACTAAACAAGTTGCTAATGAGATTCTGAATGAAATTATTGAGGAATTGGAGGATTTGAAAGTTGATCATAACAGGAATAATCCTAGAGAAGGTACATTTGGACACTGCTAACAATTTTTGGGAGAAATTTCCGGTAGGAGACGGTGGGATAAAACGGACGCTTGATTTCTTTTCTTAATGTCCATAACGTAGAAATTAATTTATCAATTGAGCTCAGCCAGAACTCATCATAAAGAGGAAGAATTTACTTGACAAGAAAAAAAAATTATCTTGTTTTATCAATAGTTTTATAAAAGATTAATATTTGAAAAAAAGTAGTGTCCATATTATGCCACTCTTCCCTACATTTCTCGGGAATTTTCATCAATTGGAAGTTGCACTGGAATTTCAAGGAATTTTGCCATTGAAATTCACAGTTTGATGAGGAAATCGAGGGAAACTTTAAATTTGAGCTGATTTATTCCACGAAAATTGACAGAATTCACGAAAATTCAGGTGAATAGATTCTTGAATTTTCGATTAATTGAAAATTTAGCGTAATTTGGTACTGAATATTCATATTTTGATTGAAAATTCAAGTGAGTTGGGAATTTTTGTCCTGCAACACAAAAATGAGAAATTTCATCATTTTTTCCCCCAAATCGAATTAAATGTCGTACTCCGGAGAATTATTACTGACGTGCACAAAAGAGTTTTTCCAGCCGCGTCTCTATTCACGTGAATTTCATATTAATTGAACGTATCATAAACAAATTGCAGGTTTAGCCTGCAAAGTTACGGGCTCTTGGACGACAACTCAAGCAGGAGTAGATTTGAAAATTACGGTTACGAATCAGACTCTAGTTGTGACACTGGAAAAAATGAATCCCTCGATGAAGCTCCGAAATGGTATTTTGAATACCACATGGAACGTCACTGGCCACGTGCCTTTCAAGCGCGGAGCTCCTTTTGCACTTGTGGCAACTAATGTTCATGTAAAATCATTGGCTACGTTTATTGGTACGATTATTCGTAAGGGAAAATTCAGTAGTGCAGGACATAAGTCAATTCAACCTGAGGAAAGTTTTCGAGAGATCCAGATATGTATGAATCGAACGGAGATAGTAACATTTTTTAAATTTCGATAATTTAATGAATTTTGAGAAAAATTTACGAAATTGTTTAAAAAGTGCAATTTTTAATGACTGCTACTTTTTGCATCGGTAATACATTTTTCACTTTACTAATCATTTCTGTAGAACTCGTAACAAATCTATCAATACTCAGAGTTTTATCGAAAGTCCATTTGAAAAAATAAAAAAATGTTCCCAAGAAATTAAACAATTTCCATTATTTGATTTATAATTGGAAAATGTTTGAAAAGAAAGGAATCGTTTGCAAGAATATAATTTGAGTGATGCTGATTATTCATCCATGATTTTTTCCATTTTTTGGAAGCAAATTACTTGACAAATCTGATGATTGAAACTCCCCAAATCTTTTTTGTAGAACTTTCACTATCTTTCGCAGATTGCAAGATATTTTCCAATAACTAATCTGTTCTAAACTTGAATTGACTTATTCTCTTTCACCACTGCGTGCGTGAACCTATTCAGTTCCAATGATGAGAACTTGTAACCAGGTGCATGCAGAGTCTGTCAGGGAGTAGACACGATTGAAGGGGTATGGTCTGTAATTAGAGAGCCACGCGGTTGTCGAGACCTGCAAGCTTCGACAAGTGCTTACAACGACGTATTCCGAAGAGTCATCCCGACTCCAAAAATCAAAAAGAAGAAAAGCGTAAATAAACGATAATGAAAACAAAATAGTGTATTTACCATAAAGATTACATAAAAAATTAACGTCGAGAGCAGCCTCAGTTCTGCGGAAGACAGTTGCGAATGGTATCGGCTCCCAAGAGTGTGACCTATTGCATTCACGAAGTATTCATTCATTGTAAAGTGAAGAATTAAATTAACCAAATAGCAGACTAAGCCCACTGGTTTAAAATGCTTAAATAAATAAAAAAAATTAATAAAATGAAAACAGCATTCACCTTCAATGTGCCAATAGTGTCGCTTCCCTCGGTGTTGGAGACAAAGAGGGAAATGTCGTGATGTCCACCACTCAACACATGTTCCTTCAAGTTCAAATATGCATGACTGCACTCAAAAGTTGAATTAATTCCTCCACCGTTCAAACTGAGTTTCATAGAGTCGTTAACTTACCCAACTTCGACGCAATCCTTAGTCTCCATCTCCTCCATCAATGGTTCATTCACAATCGTAAATTTGATAGTTGAACTCACTTCATCAGACAACATTTCTCGTAATTTTTTCCGCTGGTCGGAATGCGATTTCTCATCGATGTCAAACTCTGCGGTTGAACACCATAATATCATTTTTTCGATTGAAATCGTTTCTGTTAAAAGAATCTCAACAGAATAAGCGACGGAAATAAATCAAAATCTATAGACTCTTCTATCAAATGTCTCTCAGAAATCGCACGGAGAGCCTGCGACATTTTCAAAAGGAATCCGTCGAAAACGAATAGAATTCATTAGAAATTCAACCGCAATTCACCAACAAAAGCACTAGATCTTTCCATTAATATTTTTACTACTACTAAAATAGAATACCTCAAGTAGGCAACTAAAGCCAACAATCCTTACTCTTCATATAATTAAAAGACAAGTGATACGGTGCGTTCTTGGGTATCGGCACCGCCACAGTTTCCAAATCGGGACCAAAATTCCCCAAAAATGAGAATTCCACATAAAGCTGCTTAACATCTCGATCGTTCAGCAAACTGCACCTCGGGAATAGACTCAGCCGTTCTATCCTAATCACCACAGCATCGCCGGTCTCACGCGCCTGCCGAAACGACTCCCAATTAATTTTCAAAAAACACTCACCCGCTACTAATTTATGGAAAAAACTTGCTTGACTGTTCAACGATTTCCTCTTGTATCGTCCCCAATTATCAGTGATGACTGCATTAGTCTCATCGAACAGATGCTCGGTATCAGGAGAACCACCGTTGGTCTTCTGATTCAACTGAATAGCCTCTCTGATCTCATCCCTCTTGATCGGATGATCTCCTAAACTCCAAGCTCTCCAGGAATTCGCGCGTTTCTGGAGAGTGTCCCCTCTGCTCTCCTCGTACCTCACAATGGGATCTTGCTTTTCACTGGCGGAAGTAGTCGGGGGTTCATCCTGAAACGACTTGGTTGTAGACTCGAAATGAGTGTCTCTTTTTCGAGGCTCGTGAATTGTTTGGAGAATTTCTGAAGAAGAGTGCGCAGATCTGAGTTCTTGTCGAGAGAATTGACTGGACCGACTCCAATTCTTCTCTTTCTTTCCCTCTAAATGTTGATTCGATCGACTCTTTGATGCGATTTCTTCGTGTTTCATCTCGTTTGATTGTGAGTACTGACTCGTTTGCAGTAATTCTCTCTGCTGCTTGAACAGCCTCACACGATCCACATCGCAGCTCAATCTAATCCAGAAAAAAATCTCCCCGAAGTTGGCATTGCGATAGCAGGGCACTGTGCACTCCACATTAACGGTGTAGTGGAGTTTATTCTGGGGATAATCGAGAATGTCTTTGACACTAGTTTTCCCGTGGGCAATGACGCAAGGTCTGCCGCCAGGCTGGGCTATGTGCACTTGGATGTGAATGTAATCTTGGAGTACACAGTCGAGGAACTTTGAGATTCTGGGGACGCGATAGGCACAGGAAGAGTTGAATGTCAGGGCTGGATAATTCTGGGTGGGAAAGAATATAGACCCCTGATGGCAGAGGTCACAGCTTACGAACAGCGAAGGGCTCATGGTGAAGTCGCCGAATAGGTGGTGAATTGCCTGAGTGAATCAATTCAATGATGAAATTTTGAGGAAAGCACAGCGGCATATTTTGTTGTTGCACATTTTAAAGGCCTCAGAGGGAGACCGTGGGGAATTTTGGGAGTTGTAGGGCTTTGCCGAGACGATTCACGGAGAGAATATAAAATTAAAAATTCAGTAGCGAAGTGGTAAAACGGTTCAAGTCGACTCATCTCCCAGTTGAGTTTTTCAATAATATTTCCGAATCTAAGAGAGATGGTGAAATTTTCGTGATTACATTTATTGTAGCTCTCAATCGGCTCTACAAAAAAGGTTATAACAAAAATTTTGCTGTCTTCCTTAGATTCCGAGATATTCATTGAAAACTGGCGAATAGTCAAAATTGATTGTACCGTTTTACCACTTCGCTACTGAATTAGAATGCGAACATAGTTATCGAGGGCCATATCAAAACATTTTTAAAAGCGATCTCTTGATCAATTGATCTTAACTGAATTTTGACTCGTGCCAAATTAAATTTTACTCTTATTCTACCACTTTCTGCTACACTGTCCCGCAATTTTTTACTATATGTTTGACAGTAAATTTTGAGTATGGCGAGCATGCTCCTCGATTACTGTGTTTCCACAGCAAAAAATAATTGTATATTTTTCCCCCGTTGTCGGAGTTTCTAATATCAATTGTATTAATTATAGGCTTAGAGATTTTTGAAGGCTCGCAAAGGGTAAAAAAGTCCAATCCAAAACAACTCAGGATAAATTTTCAAGAATATTGTTTTTTGGTGCACATCTCAATTATGTATAACTCAATTTGTAGCTCAATCGGTTAAAAATCGGACAAATATCTGCTTAAAAATCGCGTCCCCTCAACGCTCGACCGCTTCCAAATTTCACCGCGCTCTCCCCTAAATTGTAAACATAACTAACAAAAGATGAAAGCTGAAGTGACGAAATATGAATCTCAATTAGTCCCTGTTGATCAGTCACAAGCATGGAGCAAAATGAATTAACCCGATCTGCTGGAACTCGACAAGAACTCCCGCATCTCAGAGGACGTCGACAATCCACCCTGTTTCTCGGTTTGGGCAGCACTTCATAGCGCCTCACCTTGATCCTCTCCCTAGTGTCCATTGAAAAACTGCTCAATGAAATTTGATTGACTCAAGAAGAGATCACCTACCTCTGCTTTTGCATAGTATCAATCATTTTTTCAAGGGATACACGGATATCGTCGATGGCAGACATGAAAGGACGATTTCCCACGTCACAGGGGCAACACTCCTCCTCTGAGCAGTCATCGCAAGAATCGCTAGGGCTTGCATCGCAATTACAAGGAGTGCAGGACGTCTTCTGTATTTTTTCGGGAGTAGATGTCTCAATTTTCGTATTGTTATTTTGATCGACAGTTTCCGAAGGTTTATCCCGGATTCTAGCAATGACAACATTGCTGTACTCTTTCAAAATACCGCACAAATTTTGGATTAGGTGCTGGGGATTGGAATCACTACTAATACCAAGGGATTCACAGCTGCAGCAAGACTCTCTGAACGGGGGAGGAAAAAGACAGAGAGAAGAGTGTTTGACTTCACGTAAAATATTATTATTGCATGAATAACTTAGGGCTATGAAAATCAAAACATTATTACATTGTAATAAAAATTAAATTAAACTAGCACGAGGTACATCTTCAATCAAGAGTAACCAGTGTCGCCGAATAAGAGTGTCTCGAGTGCGACTACTTGCCTCTGTCTGTGCACAGGACTGAATCCCTCAAACTGACGCATTTTGGCAGCATTGTGGCTCTCTAAAGGTACATTTATCTGCGCCTGATCCAGGAGCTTCAGAATTTCATCCCTCGACAGATTAGCACCAGTCATTGTTTCCACTGGCTTTCCATGATTTCGTGAGGGAGAATTTTTAATCTGATCTGGAGCGTTGAGTCTTTCTGTGGAGCAGAACTTTGGAGGGGGAATTTCAATTTGTTCTGTCTGCACTGCAGCCTCTACTTTTTCGGAAACTTGGGGGAGTTTCTGAGGCTCTTTGGAGGAATAATCACTTTCGCCCTTTGAACTTCGACGACTCCTTGGGCTTGTACTCGTCGTTTTATCGAGTGTTGGCACTATTTTTCGCTCCTCAGGCTTCTTTGGCTTTTCGTTTTGATTTTGGAATGACTGGAAGGGAATGGATTTTATGTTAGTTCGAAGTACATTTTAGTTGACTTCACGAATGAGAAGATTTTGTAGAAAATTCTATTGAATTTATATTAATTTTTGGGGGATTGTTCAATGAAAAGAGAACAATTGAGTTTAATAAACGTAGGAAATTTATGGCGGGGAATTCCTACGAAAAATGTCTCAATAGGAATCAATAGAATTTTCTATAAAATTATTTATTGAATTGCTGAAGGTTTTCTATGAAATTTCTTCGTACATGTTCACGTGTGAAATCGTGTGAACAGCCACAGGCTCAATTATTTCGTTTCGTTGAGAAGAACATTCGTCGTTATAATGTGTAATTTTTTTCCAAAAATACTCACTTTCAGTTGTACAGTCAAAGTATCCATTTCTCTCTGCATTTCCTGCAGCTTCCCCATGAGTTGTGCATTGACAGCCTGGAGAGCTGTGATGTTGGCCTGCTCGTTGCTAAAAGCGCTCTTCAAATTATGATTATCCACCTGTTGCTCCGAAATCTTCCTCCTCAACTCAATATTCTCAAGCTCAACTTCACTGTTCTTCGTGCTGAGAGATATTAATTCACTGTTATTCTGTTGGAGGATTTTTATCTCACTCATCAGATCATGTATCTGTTCCTCTTTTTCACGTAATGCTAACTGGGAGTTCTTAGATTTTGATAGGGTCTCGTCCAATTCCGTCAGTCGATGCTTCTCAGCGAGAAGAGCAGCGGAAATCTTTCCATTTTTGCTGAAAAGGTTTTTAATAACATGAGATCTACTTTCGCATGGAAATCTGAACTGAATAAAAGAAAAAATTATACAGAACAATCTTGCGCTTTCTTTAGAAATTTCTGTTGAATGTCCATTGGAACTCTACACCAACTACTGAAATTCTCTTGAAATTCTATTAAATATGCTTTGGTAATTTTACAGTGATTTTTTTAAGGATATGTTCTACAGAAAAAAATCAATACATTTGGCTTTTCTATGGAACTTCTTGAGCATAAATTTTTCAATTTTTTTCCGCTTTATTTTTATTTGTTTTCAGAATAAAATCCAAGAAAAATATCTCGATATCTTTGTATAAACGCGGATACATATTGCGATCGATTGAAATCGAAGACATCAAGATGAATATTTAAAAAAAAAAATTTGAAATCGGTTGGATCGTTTTCGAGATATTTGTGAAAAACGATTTAAAAACAAATGGCGATTTTTCCAAAATAGAACTCCGACAGAATTGTTATAGAGTTCCAATACGATTCTCCCACATTTTTTCATACGTGTGCGAGAAAAAACAAGTTGTCTTGACTAAGTTTGATTGATACAAAAATTCCCATGGATGTATACATTTCGTTATGAATAATTCATTCACCTAGATGTTTCATCAAGTTGTTGTTTCAAAACTCGCATTTCCTCCTCCAAAGATGTATTTATAGAATGACTAGAAGCTAACTGTTCCTTTTGCTGTTTCATCTGTCGCAACATTCGGATGTACTCGATATTCTCATCGACCTTAGTCTTCTGCAGTTCAGTCTGACAGTTTATCAACTCATCCTCCAGCTCAGATATTCTCGACATCATCCCCTGCCTCTGTTGCTGCAACTCCTCGATCCTGTCATTCTGCGAATGAAAATCTCCTTTGCCCTCTCCGTAAGTCGTGCTAGTGGATATTTTCGTGCGTGCACCCTCGCTACGACAAGTCGTGGGCCTGGAGGAGATGCAATTGAGACATCTCCGGGGTGGTGACCTCTTCAGACCCTTGTGACTGAGCAGTTGATTCTTCATAACGAATATTCTGTCCTTTAATTTTAAATTCTCCCGTTCCAGTTCTTCGATTTTTATTTTATTGCTGTCGATGGTGAGGGCTGCGGCGATACATGGACGTGATGATGCTGAAATTCTCATCAGTCTCGTTGTCAGTCGCTTCAACTTGTCCTCTTGAGCATTTGACAATTTCTTCAGGGCCTGGGTTTCGTCGAGGAGACATAGGTATCTATCCTCCAGATCATAGCGGTCGAGTTTACAGACCGCGTGACGCTCTCGCGGATCCGCAATCAATCCTGCAACTAGATTTGCGTTTTATTTTGTCGTCCAACCACTTGGGAATTTTGACAGCTATTGAGATTGTTTTTAATACCCCAAGTGCTGCGACAAGTCTCTATGCATGATCCTTCTTTCACTGGTAAAATATCTCGATTGGGATCATCTGCCATTGTTTACAATTTTTTTTCTGGAAATATTGAAGAATAAGAATTGTTTACAGAAGAAGGAAAAGAATTTTTCTTTAAAAATTCTGTAAATTATATGGGATTTTTTAGAGGAAAGATAATTCCATACTTCGGTAAAGTGGAGAAATGAAAGATGAGACTTACTTATTTTAGCGACAGATTGAAAAAAATATGTGGATAATAACTGTCTGTTCTTATTTACGAATTTGTCCCTCGTGGAGTGTGAAACTCAACAATTTACAATTCTGTTTGTATGAAAAAATTTTGAATGAAACCAATTCCGAAAAAAACAGTACCAATTGCAATTTTCGAAATAAATTTCTGAAATTTTTGAGAGCTGTAAAAATAGTTGATTATTAAAAAAAACAAAGCGACAAGAATGTGTCATCAATTTCATCCAAAAACATAAATAGATTATCTAGCTATCCGTTATATAGTAACAACGTTTAGCCTGAAAATATTGACAAATAACAATTAAATACAGAAGCGGAAAATGAATTTTAATTCCATCCGTTTCGAAAACGGAGAAATGAAAGTTGGGACTTATTTCATTTCAGCGAGAGATTAAAAAATAATATTTCGCTAAAAAACGTCTGTTCTTATTCACTAATTTCTCCCTCGTGGATCGTAAAAGTCAACGATTTACAATTCCGTTCTTACAAAAAAATTAAATAAGGCAAATTCCCAGCATTTTGGCGATTTCTCAATAATCAATTTGGTTTGGTGGATTAAAATTTCTATCACCATGCAGAAGATGACTCCATCATTGAAAAAAAATTATTTTTTGAGTTTTTGCGATTTTGAGTAAACATCCTTAATCTCATTCAGACGCATAAATAGATTATCTAGCTATCCGTTACATAGTAACAGTGTTTAGGCAGTTGGATGTTCCAAGTAGAAGACCAACCGCCAACGGGCGGTGCGGTCCACACGCCGCCCGTTTGGATTTTGACACATTCATCGAGTCGAGTGGGAATAGTATGGAATAGTGCCGTGCCGGACTGTGCGCCGAGTATACCGAGTGTGCGCCGTACCAGTTTTGTTGGGTAGTTAAGATGGCGGACGATGATTTTGTCACGATCTCCGATCAGGAAAAAGTACGTGTTGTATCGGACTTTATACTTCATTCACCACCGGGTGAATTCAACGAGGTTTTTAACGACGTAAGGGTTTTATTGAACAACGACAACTTATTAAAAGAGGGTGCATCAGGGGCATTTGCTCAATACAATAAGGACCAGCTCACGCCTGTTAAGGTATGTCTTCAAACTACTACTGAAAGATCGCATTTTGTGGGAGTTATTCCATCAAATTATTCCCCGAAACATCCGATATAACATTCTCTTTCAATATTCGTCGTATAAATGCCGGAAATTTAATTTTCCATTCGTCTGTCACGTCTTTTATCGGCGAAAACTTAGTCCTCTCGTACTGACGTCTACGCTACCGCTGTAATTGGAGCACAGCAAATACTTATACGGTCGTCACTGACGGTTTACAACCCATTACTCTTCACGCTGTCACGGATTACCTTTCACCCATTTTTTGCCTCGTTATTCGACTAAGAAGAAATAATTCCCTCAGATAATTTTCGATGGTGATCATGACTGGGTGGATTTTGCTTTTTTTTCTACGTGACGGATGTATTTCCCAAGGCAAATGAGTCATACCCCCGAGATAACCTATATCTGATACTCAACATCACTCAGGGATTCGAGTTCTCAGTAATTGTCAGTTATTCAAATCGTGGATTTATCATGGTGGTTTTTTCAAGCAGATTGAAGGGAGTGATTACCCAGCGTTAATAACCGAGCACAATGACTTGGGGAGCCAGAGGTTTTATGATGCTCGCAGTAAGCAGAGTTTCAAGTACGATCATTTGAGGAAAGAGGCTACAGATTACGAACCCTACGAGCCTGATCCAACGGCTGAGCCGTGGAGATCAGCTCTTCAGGAGGAAATGATAAGTTATACTCAGAGCCACTATAGACACGGTGTTTGTTCAGTCTTTGGAAAGAGTCAAGGAGGTAATTCGAATGAACTATCATGGAGGGTTAATAAGTATGGGAGGTGCATCGAAAATTTTGAGGGAGAGTTACAAGAGCTTTTTCGACTAGTTTGGAAAATGGATAAAAATCCTCAATTCCACAAAGTATTTGGGAAGGTTGAGAAACTAGAAGTGCATTGAAATTTTTAAAGGAGAGTTGCAACGTTCAATGATAATTCACTGTTGAAAATTTTTAGCAAGTGAGAAATCTACTAAAATTTCGAGGACTTTTCGCATTTGAAAATTCACAGTTTGGTGAATAATGAATGGAAACTCTTAATTCCAGTTCAATTGTTCCATGAATTTTTGTCAAGTTTGAAATCTATTGAAATTTCATGGAATCCCCCATTGAGAATTCAAGTAAGTTAGAGACTCTCATTTATCTGCTGCTCAAAACTTTGTAATTCCATTAAGTTTTCTATAACATTAAAAATTTCAGGATTTCTCTCCCCTAGATCAAATCCAATGTGACTTCCCTCAAAATTACTACTAAACTCTCCCCGAAAATTTCCGTTTTTCTTCAACACCCTTCAGAATATTTTAATCCATTGAAACAACTTTTGCACTAAAAACAGATACTCTCGTTTGGAAAACATTAAAATTGCTAAAAAAAAATCGTCTTCTCAAATACAAAATTTTCAAGTTCTCGAGAGCCTTTTTTCCTTGCAATCACGAAGACTTTTCATATTTTTAATTCAAGCAAATATTCATCTTGATTATATGATCCTATTTCTTCCTTCAAAAATAGCAAAAAGGCATAGAAAACAGGAATAAATGACTGATATTGAATGAACGAATGAATGAATTCTTGTCTTCCAGGCAACATAACACTAACAGTGTGCATAGAAGACCACCAATTCCAACCGAAAAACTTCTGGAACGGTCGTTGGCGTTCAGTGTGGACAGTGTCATTTAGCACAAGTTCGAGTAATGCTGAATTACGTGGTAGTCTCAAAGTTCAAGTGCATTATTACGAAGATGGTAATGTACAATTGGTAAGCAGTAAAGAGATTAAAGAGAGCCTACCAATAACGAGTGAGAAGCAAACAGCCAAGGAGTTGATACGCATTGTCGAGGAATCTGAGAATGATTATCAAACGGCAATATCAGAGAATTATCAGACGATGTCTGATACAACATTCAAGGCACTTCGAAGACAACTTCCTGTTATGCGAACGAAAATGGACTGGAACAAAATTGTCTCGTACAGTATTGGGAAAGAGCTTAAGAGTCAATAGAAGATAGATTTTTTTATATTAATTAAATAAGAGAATTAAACAATGAGGAATGAGGCATTTTGCTGAACACAAAGGAAAAATTTAAAAACAAAACTGAAAATAATTATAATTGAATAATGAATCAGTCTGGAGGTGTGATGTGTACGTGGGCAAAATGTAACGTGCGCAAAACGAAATTTATGAAGAAATAAAAGCATTCGAGTTGCAGTTGACGATCATTTTTTCAGTCTCATTCGTCAACAGAGGGATGAAGTATTCATTGAATGCTCAGCATTTATGAAATTGGGGCTAATCAGGCTGCACAATGAACTATAAACTATTTCCCTTCGTAGTTAGCACAATGAAAAAAATGTTTTTTACGTCATGATATCGTTGAACGATTCAAAAATTAATTAAACAATTCAATCATTTCTCATGATATATTTTTATTACTCAAAACATCGAGTGTATGTGAATACTGAACATTTTTAGAAACTCTCTTATTGCATTTATACCATCAACTTTTACAACAGACAATGATTTTATACCTAAATGAAGACGCCACATAATTCGTGCGTTGGGAGTTCAATAGAAAGAGAATATGAATTTTAATTGATTAACAATTGTTTCTCCATTGTTTCCAAGCAGAAAGTTGATAAACTTTTTGGTGCTATTCGCTTGCCACACATTGCACAGCCAGACCCATTGAAAAATGCAAAACTCAGAATAAAGAATAAAAGAGAATTTTAAAAATAACTAAATGAGTGAATAAAACAAATTGAATCATCATGAAGTACATAAATGCATTGTACATTGTAGATTGTAGCCTATAATAGCCTGCTGGAGCCTTAATTAATATGTTTCACAATTTTTTTTTTCAATTGTTCTCTTTTCTTTTTCATTAATAAGAATTTTTGTATGTAAATAGGTTATTTCGGATGAATGATAAATGCCAAGAATAAAATATGCCCCAGCATTGGAATATCTCAATACAAGAAAATCAATATGAATAAAAGATACGAAAGCAAATAAATACGATAACAATCATTACAGGTTCTCTCACTGCTGCAATATTCTTCGTCGCTCTTCATAGCGAGAATAATTGACACTGACGATTTATTCAGACGTTCGAACCACGTTAATTTGCATTTTTAGAATTAGACATTATCATCATTTCATCGATCGATGATACTACTCACTGCCTGCCTCTATTACTGACTTGTAGCGAATGTTGCAACAGTGGAGAGCCCTCCCAATTTTTTCTTCTAACGAAAGAGTAAAGATAAAGAGTACAAGTGATGTACTGCACGTTGGAAATCTACAAAGAATAGCTGCCTACAACAAAACAGAAGAAAAATTCGAGTGAAAATCCACGTGAGAGAGTCACTCAGTGACTCACAATTGAGACAATTTTCATGTTGAAAACTGATGGACAACTGCAGAATAATAAAATCGATTTACTGGTTGAATTGTGTACTATTTGAATGTTAATATTGAGCGAGTGAAGTGATATGACACTTTACGAATAAACAAATCTGTACTTAAAAGAAATATATATCAATTATTAATTATAGTTTGAGTGACATTTTCTCATTCATTTCTCTTCAAAAAACTCCGCGGGAATTGACAGAAATGTCTGGTTATTTTCACGAATGTAGAGAATTAATTGTTGCTCTACTGCACAGCAACGAAGAATTTCAAACCAACTCATATCTGCACTTCACAAAACTCACTGAAATGAATTTCTCCCCAGTCTAATGAAGAATTCACAGAAAAGCACAACAAGGGTGATTCATCATGTCAGTGCTCCAAAATGTCGCTCCAAAACAAAAAATCAGTTTTACCTGAATCAACTGCAGGACGTGAAGGTTCCCCCAGTGAACGATTCGTACCTCATCCAACAGCATTCATAAAAACTCATGACGAATTTTCGTTGTGTTTATGTAGAAGTTGACGTTCCGGCCATGTTTGTTTATATCGAGTATCGACGGGCAAAACAAGCCGATCTGACGTCTGAAGTTTGTCGAACGTCAGAACGTCCCTGCGAGCCTCCAGCCGTCGACTGCACGAACCAGCAGACGTCCCACGTGATCACCTCCCGACAATTCCCTCCCCCTCCCCCGCCCTAGACACCCCTCGTCCACGTACTACGGTTAATCGGGTATGATAGCATCATGCCGGTTCGTGGTTGCTCGAATCATATGTTAAACCAGTGTTTTGAGTCGTTTCGGTGATAGTCGACGTGAAATTCCCAATAATTTGGATATAAAAATGGCTCTTATGCCGCGAGAGTCTGGAAAATTGATAGCCAGACTCGCTAAAAATGTTTTCATCGAGGAGGAGGGCATCAACAATCTCGCCCGCGAGGTAATAATTCCGTTAATAATCAGCAATTAATAAGAGTTGAGAATGAAATAGATCAGTATAGATCGTCATCCTCGATTTAACGATTTATTAGGTACTCGAGGGATTGAAAAATCGTACGATATCAATTGACAACTTTTCACAATCTGAATTGCACCCAAATGCGGGACATCCCAAGGCCATTGATTGGATATTTGTGCTGGATACACTGAATTTTTCATTCTGGAGCAATAATGCTGATAATAAGTGGAAAGTCAATGGACACAGTGGATACTTTGCACTCTGCGCGGCGATTAAACGAGCGGTTGACGTAAGTCCATGCAAAATTCACTTCCCACATCGCATCTGCATACTTCTGTCATTGCACAGTCGCCTGTGTGTAACTCCACATCCCGAATTGATTCCCGAGAGTTTATTATTTTTTCAAGTCTCTTGGGTGTCGACTCGATTTTGCAGCACGATATTTTGGCCTTTGTTGAGTGCCTCTTGTTGTAACATGCCAGGAATTTCGAATGGTTCTCGATATTTTCTGGAAGAAATCATCGCGGTGAGACATTACACTGAGAGAAAAACATATTCCCTGCAAAAAGTCTTGGTTAAAGAAAAGAAAATTGCAAGTTAAAAATGAATAAAAAAGAAATTATAGTACTGCGATGGAAAATTTATGGTGTAAAAATCGATTCAGTTGTTTTAAAAAATGGGCATTTTCTGTCCCAGCGAGAAATCTCAATTCTGGCTCGACTGATTAGTTATTCTACAGTGGCATACGTATTCTACAAAATATTTCTTGGTAAACTTCTCTTTATAAGAGATATTTTCATCCTGAAAAAGCACTATTTCGCATCAATGAGCTGCCTCTTCAGAGAAAGGAGTATATTTTCTCAAAAAGTCTTGTTTGAACCAACAAAATGGCAAGTTAAAAATAAAAAAAACAGAATTTTTAATGCTGATCACTTGAAGCCTATCCTGAGATGAAAAATTTGTGTCGCAAAATTGATTCAGTTGTTTCAAAAAATTGTCATTTTTCGTGCAAGCAAGAAATCTCATTTCCATCACTACCTATTCGTTATTCTATACTGCCACACGTATTTTGCTCCCGCGAAATCTTTGTTTTATGCGAAGCAAAAAGGAGTAGTTTTTCGTTTCGCCTATTCCCTAATTCTTGTTTAAAAGAGAGTGATCTTTCATGTTTGCAACTTTCAGATTCAAATTATTCAATTTGCGATTTTCCTGACAATCAAGATTTGCTGCAGAACCCGTTCGTTTTTCTCACTGTATTGATTTTTATGATGAAAAATTTAGAGTATTATTTTTACTTCTTATTCTCTCCCTCTCCCGTTCCACTTTCTTCATGTATTTTTCAATATTCCTCTTAGTTTCGCCCTCTGCATATTCTAGGATGAATTTCTCAATTGTCAATAGCCACTCTTGGTACCTCTCACGCTCCATCCACCTGTAAAGTTTTCAGAGACTTGTTAATATTCTGCAGTGTTTGATTTTCCTCTTAGTCGTATGTACTTCTTCTCAATAGCTTCACGTCTAGCTTCTTCGGCTTCACGGAGGGATTTCTCCTGTCTCTTTTTCCTGTCGTGGTCTTTCTGTCTCCACTTCAGGAGTACTTTGATGATTTTTTGACGCTCCCTGTCCGATGCGCGCCGCCTCCTTCGTTTGAGATGTTCGGCACGTAGTTTTGCACGCAGGATCATTCGCTCCTTCTGATCTTTCTTTTTTGATTCCAACATTTTGAGACGTTCTTCTGTTTGTTTTTGCTTTATTTGTTGTTGACGACGTTTTTCAGCCGCTTGCGATTGTAGGAAATTCATTATTCTGTTTCGGGCCTCGAGTTTCTTTTCATTATTCTTTAATCTGGGGAGAAATGGTGCTGAATTTAGTATGAGAGGGATGAAAATGTAAAATTTATGTGATGGCCCTCTTCACGAATTTTACTCTACTCCAGGGAAAAAGTATCTGTGAACATTTCGCTGTCTCTTGGATTCAAAGATATTTATCAAGAAATGATATTGTAGTTGAAGTGGAAGATTAAGATAATTCAACTCGAGGTTAGACAGAGTTTTCAATGAATATCTCGGGGGGAATTTGGGTGAGATAGTGGAATTCCTGGAATCGATATTCTAGTGAAAGCAACAACAGGATAAATCAATTTGCCTCCATAATTTATCCGACCATTGGAGTCCATTAAGCATTTTTAAAAATCTTCTAGCCACTACCCAGCTGCCGAAAAAAACAAGTGCAAAAAACACTCCAACACAATAAAATTTCAAGATCCAAGACGAAAAAAAAATTGGGACAAAAATCTTTTCCATACTGCTTCTCACGATTTTTTGTCTAGGAATTGGTGCTACATTTTTCCGAAACTACTACGGAAATTACTACCGAATAGCATTTTTCGTTACTGTCGCGAAGAAAATTTTTCTGGCGAATATGTGGTTTTAATTTAATTTTAATTACTAAAAGTTTCATGTTTCTTTCAATTTTTTAAACAGAAATACCTAGTCTCACTCAAATTTCCGTAAGAATGCACTTAAAGAACTTTTTTTCATCGAAAATAATAAACCAAATAACGAATTTTGTTTTTAAAACTCTCCGAAACCGAAATAGAACCGAAAAATCCTGAATTTGCTGAAGTTGAACGTTGAATGCCATTTTCTTTTAACTGCTAAATTAGTTAATTCATTGCTAATTACTTTGCTGCCTCTTTCTGAGCTTCAGCATGCGCAGCTCTGAGATCCCTCCGCTCTGCCTCCACTTCCCCCCTCCTCCGCAGCTCTCGTTTCACACTCTCCCCATGCAATTTCTGGAGGTATTTACGATACATGTTGTACTCCTTGACCGAGCATACAGCATCCAAGTCCTCCGTGATGAACCCCAACTTTTTCATTCTGAGTATAGTCTTCTCATTGGAGAAATAACGAGCCAGATGTCGATCGTGTAACGAGTCATACTCGAATTCAATCTCATAATGATTGGGATCAGTTAAATCGAATTCCGCCTTTTTCGAGGATGTGTATAATCGTCTTCCAATTTTCTTTCGAGAGAAACGATAGGCACCTTCTGGCCCTGGCACAAGGGGAATTTTCAATTCAAGGGGTATGGATTTCCACTTGGGAAGGCCAAAATTCGGGATTGCACCCTTCGGCTTTGGCACAGAACTGATAACCTTATCCAATTTCCTAAATCCGGCCGAAAGTTACGATAAAGCGATCAAACCATTTTTAATTCCTCCATTAGCATAAATTAATCATGCACTCACGTCGGCTGCCTCATACTCCTCAACATCGTATAAACCGTGGAATTCCTCTTCCCCATTTTCTAATTTTGCTTCAAATTTCAATGCTCAAAAGTGTGACATTTCAAACCGATAGGATTATGTTTTTCCTTCCCCAAAAAATTCAGGAAGGCATTCCAATAATTGATCCAAATTACTACGCCAAAATAACGAGCGACGATTTGGGACGAATTTTACGAGAAGATGAGGGATCCGATCCACCTCCGCTCTTGGAGCATCGAGTGAAAAATCTTCAACAGGTTGGAAAAATTATCGTAGAAAAATACAATGGCACTTTCGTTGAGTGCGTTAAAATATCGAAATACTCAGCTGAGAAGTTACTAAAACTCGTCGTTAAAGAATTTGAGTGTTTCCGAGATGAGGCGGACTTTTACGGCCACCGAGGTATGACTCATATAAATCAGAGGTGAAGTGGTGGAACGAGATTGGTCAACTTCGAAATGAGTTTCTGATGGATAAATTGGAATGTAAGATAAATGGGAAAATTTCGCAAGAAACTTTTCTTGTCCCAAACATTTTGGAATATACAGCAAAAACTCGGAGCGAATTTGATTCAGTTTGTGTCTCTGCTTCAATGCATGAATTTTTTCTATAGATTTTTTAATGGAATTTCAAGTATAAAATATTGAATCTTACATGAAATTTTATGGACATTTGAGAAATAGTTTTCAGGAGAGGGATATTCAATTTGATTTCAAATCATCGCATTTTGAAATTTCCCATTTTACAACAAATTCAATGGAGTCGAATTTCCCAAACTACTCGAATTATTCATTAATTTAGAATTCAAGCATATATTTAACTGAATTTTCCTGATTTTTATTGATTTTTATGGAATAATTGGACTAAAATTTACAGTTTCCATCGATTTTTTCATCAAATCATAAAAATTTCCAAAAAGTGTACTGAAAATTTGAGCCAAAAATTGTTACCATTATATGTTGTTATTAACAAATCAGTTAATTTCTGAAATATGCGACGAAATTGGGATTTCCAGATCCCAATAACAATGAGAATTATTGAAAATTCAACTGCACTGCACTGAAATCTCAGTAATCGTCCAACGATTTGATCTGGAATTGAATTCAAACTCCCAACATTAAGGCTTCAAATGCAACTGTGCCTTGAATTCCAAAAAATTTCGAGCAATTCTAATGGAAGAACTTCCTACAAAACAAATCTATAAGAATTCTTCACAATGTCAGCACTAGAATGAAGTCTAATTGACAAAAGAAAACACGATAATACGTCCCATTATTTTCAGTGTCTTTTTACAAAAGAGCCCAGATATTGATCGGCGATATATGGGCTTGCTACAAGGGTAAGGACTTGGGGGAGTTCAACGACATCGACATAATAACAATGTTCCCGGATTATAGAGTACCCCAGGTGTTATTGGAATTTGGTGCCATGAGATACAGTAATCCTCTCCTCAGTGCCCTTCAATCTGGTACGTAGCGAATAATTATTGCATTCCCCAAATCCCCTGAACGACCTCATTCCAAAGCCTACAAGACCACCTCAGCGTTTAGAACACCCCAGACTCAAAACTACTTCATTTAAAGGCACAGAGATGACGGAGGGATGCCCAGACGAGGTAGAGATTCGTGGTTGCTCAATTGAAATTGTGGAGAGAGTTGTCGAGAGAGTTCGTACATTAATCAAGCAATATCCGAACTTGAACATAAATCCATTCAGTTGTAATTCCATCATCGTCGATCACTTCCTGTGGGATTACAGACGGCGAAATGCACAAAAGTTAGAGAACCTTCCATTCCATCGTGTTAGAACGATTTATTACTGATGAAATTATTAGTCGTTATGATAATAACATTCTGGTCCTCTGATTGATACTCATTTGATTAATAATGAAAATGTATCATCGGACGATCATCTGTTTAGATTCTATGGGATCAATAGTGTTACAAAAACTCTATCTTTACTCCAATTTTATTCAATTCTTTACATAGTTTGAAAGTATTGGTGTAGAACGAGTAATTTAATACAATAAACAACAAGCAATTACAATGTTTAAACTTTGAAAATTTAGATTGAAAAATAATGTCAATGTTCCATCATCGTATATGAATATTTACTATGTATATACACAATTAAACATTTTATCAAATTTTTTCATGTAAGAATTACAAAATATATTGATCAATAACAAATTTTTTCATACCCAACAGTGATTTATTAATAAATAATATAAAACCTAATGATAAATAATGCGAAAAAATTTCTCTCTCTTTGGATGGTGACACCGACGTGTCCTTTGGCACAGAATAAGAATTTTTTTCTCCAACGAAAAACCATTTTCTAGGATTAAGTAATTGAAATCAATTGAATTCGCAGGCCGAAAAATAAATACCTATATGACAATTAGTAAGAATTAATGGAATTAAAATTAAGTTATGGCAGTTTCAGTTGTGTCCGCATCCTATGGTTACTACACGTAATGAATAATTTTCCAGGGAATATCTACTTTAGGTACCTGTACAGTGATTGGATATTGGATAATTTAAACAATTGAGCCTTCAGTAACCAACAACATAACTCCTCAAGGTTTTCGCTGCAGCTGCTCCCAAAATTGAATGTTATTCCTCAAATTACCGGATGCAATCACCTTTCTTTTATCATCATTTTCTGTTCCATTGGAGACCGATCCAGCCGGGACTTTACTCTGTTCAATAATGGTACTGTAGACAGGTTGTGCATTGGGTTTGCACGAAATGTTCCTCAAGCCCTCACGAAACTCTCGGGATAAAGATCTTGCTGTTAAACTATGCATCTGCCTCGGAGTCTTCACGATATGAATTTCAGGGGTGGTCGGGCGATCTCGTCTGACGGGTTTATTGACCCTCGGAACTGGGGTTGGTTTCACTTCAGGGGGTGCATTAAACGCTTGCGCTAATCTCCTCACCGAAGGCATAGGCAACGCAGCGTCGATGAATCTGTCAGGCCCCTCCAGAGACTCCAACGAATACCTCATCTCCTTCGACCTGGGGAGTTTCCTCGGCAACTCCTCAGCAGATTCAGTCTTAGAGTTTTGTGAATCCGAATCATAACTGTCGACTCCATTGTCCCGAGAACCGTTGACCCTTCCATCATCAGAGTTCTTATTCCCATTGTAACTGAAGGAACTGCTCTTCGCGATGTTCGGGACAGATTTGGCTGCTGTCATCCCTCCAAGTTTATCAAAGATTATCTCCCTCTCCTTGTTCAAGTCATCCGTACTCTGGGTCCAGATGTAATCACCGCCTCCCAGACGGGATGAATGATTCTGCGTTAAATTCGATTTATCATCGATTAGTTTTGGGCGGACGAAACTGTTGTTGACTTTGCTGTCAATGTGATTGTTGGATTGAGTTCTTCGGAGGCCCGAGTCGTATCCGTAGGATCGTAAATCCAGTTTATTCACAACTCTGGGAGGCTTTTTTCGGATCTCGTTGCTCTCGTCGAACTCATTTGCGAAACCATACGCTCTCAGATCGATCCTTCGAATTTTTCTGTTGTTCTCTTCGGTGAACGATTTCTTACTGTCGAAAATCGGAGAGTCGAAATTTCCCTGGTTGTTCAGCTTAGCGTTTATTTCGTTTTTACTGTTTTTTCGCTCTCGCTCGAGGAATTCCTCTATGACTTCTTGGGGCTCGGTTTCCCGGTTGTTCTGGGGCTTGGGTGACGCTTCGATCAGCTCGAAGGACTCCTGTAACACACAGAAACAGAATCATGAAGACGAAATATGGGAGATTGCGAGAATTTATCCCATGTTAACACCACGGCGATGACATTAGTATTTTGAATAAAACCTATTGGATCCATACATGCGTGATAAAAAATATAAAATTCCAATGAGAAGAGTATCCACATTCAGTTGGAGAAGCGTAAATTCGTGCAATTGTTCATAGATTTATTATGCTCCTGTGATTATGAATAGTTGGATTCGGTCATTTATTTTTTAAATCCGTCAATTTTTCATTGTTAGTGGACAGTAGTTTAACGAGTCTGGTCGCAGTACTTACCAGTCGGAATATTTGTGCGTGTTCTCATGCATTGTATGGTAATAATAGAGTAATGAGGAATTCACTAAAAATTTTAACAGAATTATATCAAACAACGAGGTTTATTAGCGAGAATGAATGGAGAAATAATTAGAGAGTGATTGTGTACAAGGTGGGAGATCTAGGAATTGTATCTAAGAGGATTGAACATAGTTTTACTACCATGAAAACTAGTATTACAAATTTGGCGTGAACTGTGGACAAAAAAATTTAATTCGAAAAATTGATTTTGTTGATTGAATTATTTCTACTTTTATAGTTTGTTTCTCACTTCGAACCCAGTTATACGTGAGGCAAATCTACACTACAAGAATCATCTACTATTTACAGTTAACAAGGCTACATTGACTGGACAAATTGGGAATAAATGGTTGTCCTGGCAAAATTATTTCGGCACCATTTTCATCTCACAGAGGAACTTCTCCGAAAATCAATAAGACTAGTATAATTTCTGTCAATCATGGTAATCAGTTCGATTAGATTTCAGGAAAATTGCAAAGGACGAGCGATAATAATAGGGTAAAGAGGAATTCACTGAAAATTTTAACAGAACAGTCTCAAACAACGAATTTTATTAGAGAGAATGAAATGAGTAATAATTAGGGAGTGTTTATGTACAAATTGGGAGATCTGGAAATTTGATCTAAAAGGATTGAAAATAGTTGTGCTACAAGGAAAACTAGTATTACAAATTCGATGTAAAACGTGAAGAAAAAACATTTGATTTGTGAAACTGATTTTATGGATTGAACTTCTACTTTTGTAGTTTTAGTTTCTAACTTCGAACCCAGTTATTCATGAGGTAATGCTACCCTACAAGAACCATCTACTATTTACAATAAAAAAGGCTATGTTAACTAGACAAAATAGAAGTAAATGTTCGTCATGGCAAAATTATTTCGGGAGTAATGGCTGTTTCTTCGACGGTTTTCTCCTCGCAGAGGAGCTTCTTCGAAGATCAATAAGACTAGTATAGTTTCTATCAATAATTTTTGGAACCGAAGGCGGCTCGAGCCTCAAACACTCATCCCCCTCGACAGCGGTAGTTCCAGCTATCAAGCTCTGCTGATCGTGGAAATCACTTCGATTAGATTTCAGGGAAACAGCGGTGGAAGGATAATCCATCGGTGATCTCACTTTCGGCTTTCGATAAGACCCGATAACATTCTTATCACACTTGTTTGTTCGTTTTATTCCACCAAACGGCTGGAACTTCAATCTAGAGAAATTGACATCCTCGTCTTGTTCGTTTGCGGGATCGTCGGAGTAGAAGTCATCCACATCTTCGAAGACTTCATCAATACGATTTTTCGGTTTTCTTCGTGATATTCCCCCGAATGTTTGGAACTTGTGGGCATCTAGGATCCAATAGTCTTGGCTGGTTGTTGCGTATCCTCGGTGATCCTCACTGCCAGTCCAGCTGAGCCTCGAGGGTGGGACGTCCCTTTGTTCGGATTGACTGTTTAAAGAGTCCATTGAATATATTCCAGAGTCCCAATGATGATTTTCATCCTCGTAAATCGGATTGGTTGTGGAATTAACGGTGGGGTCATTGTCAGGTGTATCTTGGCTGTCTGACATTAGTTCGAAGCTTCTAGTTCTCAAGGTGAGATTTTTCGATTCATTCAAAATTCCTGGTTCAGTTGGTACTGAGAGGACACGTGCTGTCGGTCTATCACTATCACCAGCGTCCAGGTACACAAGAGGATTGATAACGAAATTTGAACTTGCGTTTGGGCAACTGTAGGTGGACCTGTGTAAACTACCACGGAGGGAAGCTTCTTCGAATTGTACAAGTCGTTGACTCACCTGGTGCTCGTAGTCACTGCTAGTTGATGCTGAAGTTTGGGACAGAGAGCTGCTGGGTCTGCTCGAATTCGATGTACCTGGTCGACGGTGTCTCTCACCCGTCGGCGATTTTGCCTCGTTTATGTAGTAGTCCCTAGCGAATCTAAATTCAGAAAATACATTTATAAAGTTATGGAGTTCTTTGGAGGTGACGAATAATGTGAGGTGAGAGTCTATGCACTGCAGCTATCGGGGTTCACACAAACGAAGTTCTACCTTAAAGCTACTTTACGCTTTCAACATGCTGCGCTATAGATACGGATCTTTTCAGGTTCTGAATTTTCCAACTAAATTCCGTGAGAAAAAAATACGATTCCGAACCTAATCGAGTTTTCTGGAAATTGTTTGCAGCTTTCAATAATTTCAATAATTTTTCGTAAAGTCGGAGCAACTTTAAATAAATATCTCTGGACTTCTGTATAGCTGTTTCATTGGAAAACATGTCCCAAAAATTGATCTATTTTCAGATAACGTTCACTGATCCTATTCTATCATTTCGTTACTGAATTTTTGAATAAAAATCAACGATTGTCTTGCTGCGAAATATGTCTCACCTTTGGACATCAGGTCGATTTCCTCCCAAAACGATCTTCAATGGTGGACTGGGACTAGTAGGCAAAACTCCCGAGCTAAAAGGAGGAATAGAAATGAATAAATAAGCAAAGAAAAGCTTTATTAGTTGACGGAAAATGTTCGATAGTTTACCCAGGAGCATCTGATGATCTACTGGCGTACTGCCTCTCCAGCAATCTCTTCTGAATATTCTCCTCGCTGTACGGATTATTCTGTATCGGCGCCGCGTTCTCCCATTTTTTATGCTCACGTTCAGCGATGGTCCCTGCAAGAAAAGAGCAAAACCAAATAAAAAATAATCCGTGGAGAAATTTTCCTCACACGAAGATGAGAATCTTGATAAACCGGCCATTGACGTCAGTTTCGTGAATGTAAAATAAGAATGAAGGAAAAAACCAATCAGACAACATTGGTTACCTGGTCGAGGTGGGGCAGACAGTGCATGGCCTTCCTCATTTGATTTTGTCTCGATGGATGATGTCGCTCTGGCCTTGGCGGCTGCCGCAGCCACCTGACAAGCTCTGCACAGCGGAATGATGAATATTAAAAAATAACGAGATAAAAAGGGGTTAAAAAACTAAAAAAAAAGCTGTCAGTTGAATGCAACTGGAAATAACAAATGACGTGAGAATGTGTAAACAAGAAAAACGTACGGAGCATTGTTGAGAGTCTCTCCATTCTCTAGAGGTGACCTTTCATTCTGCAGAGCGTTGTCGTGTTCCACAACATTGTGGAGAAATTGTTCAGATTTTTCGAGCTCCAACTGCGGCGCGACATCCGGCGAATGAGATTTAAGATGATCAACAACTTTATCTTCATTGTCGTCACTATCATCAATTGCAATGAGTTTTTCATTCAATTCCTGTAGATCGCAGGCAACCGGTAGTGCTGGATCGCCCTCGCAGATAGAGTTTCTGATCGGTGTAGCAGTCGGTGTCTTCGGGATTTTATTTCTATCCTCTTTAATACCCGGATTTCTCGTTGTATCTTCTCTTGAATAATTCTCTCCCCCTTCAGTGGCTTCAATTTCCGTATCATTGATTTTCAGCTCTTCGTCGGGATTTTTCTCCCCTTTCACAATTTCCGATTTAATTTTTGGTCCCGATGAGGATTTATCGGGATGCTGTACATCATTAGAATTCTCACACACAATTTCACCCGTGAAATTATCGTGGAGAATAGCTGACTTGGTCTTTTGGACTCCCGAGGGAACTCGTACAACTTTCGGCGAGTCTGGTACTGCCTGATTAATAGCCTCTATCAAATCCTCATCGATCTCCTCATCAGATTGTGCTGAGAACTCTGATAAATCTGACATGTCATCAGCGTCCTTGTCCCCAATTAGCGCTCGGTAATCTTCACTGGGATTGGGTACAAGCATGGCAACGGGCTCAGGTTGAGCAGCAATTTTCTTCCTTTGGAAGAGCCAATTTTGTTCCCAAGTCTCTAGGGGGGTTATGTGGTCCACGGAAACACAGGCGTCGACTTCGTCCTCGCTGTCCTCGGAGGAATCCTGGGAAGCTATGAAGAAAATTTATTCGTTTTGAGGGCATCCAATGGTAAACTATTGAAAAAATTCAGCTGAAATTCCGTATACACTTTTCGGACATTTTTATCAAGTGAGAGTTCCACTGAAATTCCAAGGAATTTCGGCCTTGAAAATTCAGTTCAATTATTCCAGTGAAGCTAATAGAAATCAAATAAATTCAGCTAACACATTCGTGAGTTTTTAATTAATTGGAAATTCAATGTAATTTGGTACTGAGTTATCATATTTTTATTGAAAATTCAAGTGAATTGGGAATTTTTATTATCCTGTAGCTCAGAAATTTGGGATTCCAGTGAATTTCCGGTAAATTTTGAAATTCCACGATTTTTCTCCGTTGAAAATAATTGTTAAACTGACATTTCGATAGTATATAGCGTATGCAAGTGAATATATAGTACACAGTATAGTATAGAGTGTATGTGAGTGAGACACAATTATTTTTGGAAATCGACAGGTGATAGCGCTTCTAATTTCATAAATGTCGAAGCAATTGAACGAATCAAGCCAAATTTACGGTGAAAAAACATAAAAAGTGTAATTTTTCGGAAACTCATTTCACCGCAGAAGCTGCCTCACATGTACATCCTCACAATATCCATTTTATGCTTTCCGTCGTAAACTTACGATCCACAATATCCATTCCAAACTCCGGAAATGGCACACGTTTGGCATTCCGGAAATGAAGTACATTTGCCTTGACATTTCTCGGTTCTTCATCAGATGTGTAAGTCGTAGTAACTTCCTCAATCTGCTCCTCGATCTGAAAACGAGTTATTTACAATTCTAATAATGTCAAAGAGTTTTACAACAATTAAATGACAGAAGAAGAATACAATTATGCTAAAATACTGATAATTCCACGACATAATTCCCGCAAAGTTCAATCACTCGCTTCGACTGGCTCATCGACGATAAAACTGAAAACCCGATGCGTAAATAATTCTCATGAATTCGTGAACTCAGCATAAATTTTCCCAATGCACCCTGAAAGCGGACTCATCGACAAAAAAATTTTCAGCACTAATTCGCATTGCCCACGATTACAACCAGACATCCAGTACACACCATTACTACCAGGCATCCATTACAACCAGGGTCGGGTCGTAAACTGAAAATCGGAATTTTCTACAGTACAAGCACGGAGAGAAAAGTTGGATAAAAATTATCCATAGATCGGCATCAATCGTTACGTTAGTAATATTATGAGAAGTTGCACCTTACAGTAATTTAGATTTATCTATCGTGATTGAAATTTGAAAAATAATATAACAGTTGGTAATTTAATTTCTCAATTATTGGTTGATAAAATAATTCGTAATTTGAAAATTTAAATTGACGGTTATTTTTAGAATTAAAAAATTGGTGAGTAATATTAACAATTGACTTATTCCAAATTTAACTGTAATTCAAAATTTGGATTATGCCGATATCTGAAATTATCTAGAAAATCGAGGCAAATTTTGCTGTACGAAAGGTAATTGTGGAGCAAAATGTAATTCCACAATACCTCTTTGTGGAGGATATTTTACGATTCGTTCGGTAAAAAAACATTTATGGAAGCGAATATTATTCTCCTGTGCAGTAAAATTTTCCACACCGGCAGGGTATTTTTTTATTGCGCCCATCTGAAGATCATGGTGACGAATGGAAGAGAAATTTTACCGAACGCGTTTGGTCAAACATCATCCCCCTTGCAACGTTTGACCCTCCAGGGGCAAAACGGGAGAGCCCTGTGACCATTTCGCTTCATTTGTGATCGCTCGATCCTTCGACTTGCGACATGCCAAAAAAGTCTAAAACCTCTCCAGTAAACTACTTTTTTTTTCACATGTCGAAAACTGGGTAGACTAATGTGGTATTTTACTCGTCCAACCCGGATTACAACACTTCAAGGGAATGAAATCTCGGAGTCTGATGCATGATTTCCTTCCGCCGAGTATTGAAAAAAACTTGAAAAAATTACGTAAAGGGTAGTTAAAAAGTGAGATTGACAATGGGATGTCGACAATTCCCCTTGTCTCAGTCCTCTCTTTATTTTTCCGTAATTATCTTCATGCTTCAAGAGTGTCTCTGCTTCATATTCCCATTACGCCCGGTTGCAATATCGAGTTGAAAGAAGGCCACTGCTATAGCAGTTTTGTGTACTCAAGGCTTTTATCTTCTTCATTCAGGATAGAAAGAAACTAGAGTGAATCCCCTGGTGTTTGAACTGTTAAGATTCGTGAAATGCCAGTGATTAAACTAATATTCTACGACAATGAGCAAGAATCAACAAGTTTCACGACATTTAATCGAAGTAATGAACATAAAATTGCCTTTTCGAGAGGGAAAGACTTGGTAGTAATCTCAGGATCATCGCAGTGAGTATTACTCATTCCTTCTCCCGCACTCGCCGTACTTGAATGAATAATTGAACGAATGTATCCAACATTTTATAATGATTTTATTATTTAAACTTTGAAAAAATAAATTTGATTTTGAATCGTTATATTGAGAAACATTTAACAAATCGGAAGAAGTGGAAAGTCTACTATTGGAGAAAGATTCGTAGAATAATGGAAAATTGTAATTCTTGACGATTACGACTTTTCTCATGAACCACTCATCAAAAATTATTTTTCTACCCGAAATGTTATCTTCCAAATCGTGGCGAACTCATCCATATTCAGAATTTCCACATCAATGCCATGGAAAAAAATGAAATATCCGAAAGTTTAAACAATTTGAATGATTTATTAATCAGAAAAATGTTCAAAGAAATGAAAAATACATTTCTTTTTAAAAAAAGACATTTCTTTTTAAAACGTTATTCAAATGATGCTAAATACCCCTGAATATCACTTTCTCAAATTTTTCTCATGCAAATATAATTAACAAATTTGATGACTGAAAATGTCTGAATCTAGTCTCCAATCGCTACCAAGCCGTAAAAATCCGGAAAATCCTGAAGTCTAAAATTCAGGGATAATGTTCAGCAGACTTGTCTCTCGGTGCTAATTACTTCCATTAAAACAACATTAAAAAAATTGAATGCCGGTAAGCTGCATAATGACCGAGCAAACATTAAATTGCCTTTTAAAGAATGAAGTTGATTATTCATCTCAGGATCATCCCAGTAACTATCTCAACTCCTTCCCGACCACACCATAATGAATAGTCAAGTGTTCCCGTATTCATTGAATTCATGAACCGTTTATCCACACTGTTGGGCGCGATAAATCTCACTTTACCGCTCGCTGAACACAGCTATTTTTCTCCAATAAACTATGATGGATTATTTATTACCGTGAGGGAGAGAGGCTCCTGACGAATACGCAGTTTAGTTTTCGTGCGACTGCACTCACTGCCGCACTCATCCTGGGACATTGGATCCACACTGCTGTCCTCCTCTACGCCACTGCCACTCGCCTCAGATCCTTTAACAATTTTCCCGAGGATCACAGTCATTTGGCTCCACTTGGGGATGTAATTGCTGTTTCGTAATGAATAATTCACTCACCTCTGTATCTGCAGCGTTTCGACGTTGTTTCATGCACTACATTGCTGTTGCCGTCCACTCGACCCTTCTGGTATTTCTCTACGACCTAGAAATCAGTGAAAAGAACGGTTTTCAACGAATATCGTCATAAATTAATGAGATTATCGAGATAGTACGCACTTTATTGAGTATGGCCGCTGCTAGTAAATCCTCATAGCTCTGTTCGCCAATGCTCGTATTGTCCTGTCTTCTGATGGTAACCGAATCACCGAGACCCGGTAGTTTACGTGCCTCGTCGACCGCACGCTCCACCAGTTCTCGCAGTGCAGTGTGCGCCATACTCGGCGTGTCTGTGGCCGGTTTGTCTGAAAACGGTATGATAGGGAAGGAATTGCATTAGTGGAATCGATTCTAGTGAGAGCTGAATTCCCAGGAGGTGGGGAAAAATCATCATTTTTCCTGCGGGGAAAAACTATTATTGCCAGTTCATTTTCTCACAGTGATTGCTGGATTTATTTATTCTGCAATCTATCCTTCTTATTTATGGACAGATGAGCGGAGGTGACGATGAGAAAGCCGCGGAATTTATTACATTTCGTCTCAGTCATCTTTGCTAATTAATCATAATTTATGTTTACTAATTACTGTTTTTGTTTTATGAACATTTTATTGTAATATCTGTCCACACCGGCCTTTTTCCACAATTGCATTCATTTACACGCTAATCGGTTTATTTATTCGTGGATTGATGATGAGCGGAGGTGACAATGAGAGAGTGGCCACCACTTAATTTCAATTGTTGTTGATAACTGATAGTGTTATTGTTCAGAAAGGGATTATTTCAACTTTGAATAATTGATTCTGCGGTTTTTTTCTCTTTCCTATTTCAATCATTGTTTCTCGTTGTTTTATGAATATTGTTATGGTGATCTATATCAACGTTTATAGGGAAATAACTTGAAAAACAATTGATTTCTCTGCAAATGATTGTTTCTCTCTGAAATTATTAATTACCCACGGTTCGTGATCATTGCATTTTCTTTTTACATCCTGATTGTCATGTTTATTTAAACTTCATTAGTCGTTTCTTTGGGGATAAATGACGATTAATTTTACTGAATCATCATTATTATCATTTTGAAGATCGTCATCTTCTTTGAATAATTCCTTCTCCATTTTCATCAATTGTTTTTTTTCCTTTCTCGCGATTGGATTTATTCACATTCTAATGGGTTTATTCATTTGTCGGATTATATATTTGTGATGAGTGCAAGTGATAATGAGAGAGCGGTAGAATTTATTCTGCTGCATCGAAAGCATTTTTATGCTAATCGAATGGTAATTCGAAATGAAAGTAAAAGAGTTTTGGAATTGATTAGTTTTTTGAATAATATATTAGGTTTGCGGAGGGAATGAGAAACAGTCAAGCAGAAATCGCCACTTTCATCCGGCAACAGGTCGTCAAGCGTTCACCCGTTATGGGTCAGTACACGTAGAAGTCGCGTAATTTCTCCTTGGCGGCCTTGTCGGCCTTTTTTCATCGCTGTGCAACCGGCAACCGGTGAAATTCCGGGGCTAGTGACCTCGTGAACTCTTTATACACGTCGTGTGTGTGTGCTTTTATTTCGGGTGGTCCACGGGACTCGAACAAGTTCAATCGCTGACCGAATTCCTGGGCCTCAAAATTTTTGAATATTTCCCACGGACATTTGTGGATCGCATTCTTCGGTGATGTTGCAAGGTGAAATTCAGGGCCACGTCCAACCAGTTTTTTTGTGATTACTAATGCACTTTCTAGGTTTGTAACGGTGGGGGCGGAGGAGGGGGGGAGGACGGTGTCACTCGGTAGGTGGGTCTCGGTATTTTCCCAAGCCATTAGGAGCCGATAATTGTTTGTATCGTGCGTGCATTTTGCGACAATGAAATGATGCATTTGCGGATGTGTCTATCGGGCTTTCTAACTCATGGTCTTGCGGATTCAAAGGTGAAGGATAACTTCGGCGCAAGAGTGATGGAGTCACGTGTATTTGCATGCAAGAGCTTCTCTCCTTGGTTGGCGGAAATTTATGGCTGAATTTTTGCATGAATGGTCGTCAGAATTTCGTCAGAAGCACACAAGGACAAGAAGTTTGATTTTCCGGAATATGTCACTGATTTTAAAAAATCTATCACTAATTATTGGTGATAGTGAATATTGATTAGAATAAACCTGATCATTAGTGATTTTTATCACTGACATTCAGTGATAAAGCGACTGAACTTCAGGATTTTGCGCTATTTCAGTTTCAAGATCACACATCTCTAATAATTCGGGATAGATCCGTGGAAATCAGTGACGTGTCCCGGAAAATCCAAACTTATTTCTCTGTGCGAGTTTTCAAATTTTTAGGTTTTCACTGAAAATTATCAATAAATATTTATCGGACGATAATTATCTTCAAAAATGCGTTTACATACCGCCGCT